TAATGAAATTTCACGAGTTTATTAAAGGATGCTTTGTTTAGTTTACAGTTTGATAAAAAATTTTTTAGACATTGAATGAAAAGTTTCTTTAGAGTGTAATAATTTTTCTAAAAGTTTACATAAGTACCCATTGGCAAATTTTCGTATATTCGATTTTAAAATTAGAATAAACAGGTTTCGGTATTAAACATTTATACTGTTACATAAATTTTCTCTTTTTCCATTTTCAGGGCATCATCTGATGGACGTGCGGGATTCATGCATCCAAAAAATTTGGATCATTTTAAACACCGGGACAAGAAAAAAAGCCCATTGTTGCAGGATGAACCCGCAAATATTAAATTTGGAACGTCCAACTTGAAAAATCACGTTAATCCTGCATACAAACAAGCAATAGAAAAGATTCGGCCATTTTACGAGATTTCGCGCGATCGCTTTAACAGGTAAGTTATATTACTGTTTATATGAAATTTAGTTATAAAATATGTTGATACGTGCTTCTTGTTTTTCATTATTTATATTATACATTTATCCACCTTAGACATTTTTGTGTCGTTATAAGAAGTCTAAAGTGGAAGTCTACTTTAGACTTGTAATAATGAGGAAAACGAAACACATAATTTCCAATTAAAATATATTCATTGTGACGTAATCTGACATGCTATTATACTCCAATCGAAAATTTCTGGCCAACGATATAAATAAATATAAATAGGATCTCNGGTTTCTAAGATAGCAAATTTAGGCTTACCGTGGTCGATCGTTCAATCCGGTTGCATCGACGTTGGAATTTTCTTCCTGGGCCCATAACCCTTTGTTGAGTTAATTTCTCATGCTATTCACAATTAATGCAATCCTTTGACAACAAAATAGCTTTATTTCTAACTAAAAGGATTTAATTAACAAGCTCTACATTAAAGGTAAGCACACCTCGTGCTTCAATCAACACCACCTAACAGAGATGATTTTTTAATTAATTAAGATGTATCCGCAGCCTTCCCATAGCCAAATTATAGCCACGACAATTCATACAGGCATTTATTAGGATATGGAAAATTGTTCAATTGTAAAGTAATTGTCAACTTGTTGCAATAAGTCTGTCTCTTCTTAAGAATTAAATATTTTTCTACAATATACCCAGCTTTATTTCATAAATTTTGTTACATAAATAATTTGATAGAAATTGTCGAGATAATAAGTATAAACTTGGAAAATTTAAAAAAATGCTCAAATAGATAATACTTTAGAAAAGTGTCTTCTCACTTTGTCTCTTTCATCAGGAAACAATTTTGCCATTTTGCCGTGAACTTGTTACACTTGCAAAGACAAGAAACTCAAATATTATATCTAAGCTATTATATTTCCCCTAGAGAATCCCTAATTTCATAAACATTGTCGGCGACGTTAAAATCTATACTAGACCGAGTTGTAGAAATGTTAACTTACATCAAGTCAAGATTATTTAAAATGCTTTTTTAAAAATTTGAATATCTACGGAAGCTCAGTATAAATCTTTGCTTTTGCACGCTGAAGTAAGATTATTATTAAGGGTCAAATGCTGTGTCTATTTTTAGAACTTAAGAATGAATTGTTGACCTTTATCTAAAATAAAGGTACAAATGCTTTTATAAAATGTCTTTAAAATGATATTTGGTTTGTTAAAATCGCATACTTAGCCGACATTTTTCATTACTTGAATACAGTACTTAATACAAATATGCAAGAAAAACAAAAATATTTTGACATCCACTGACAAACGTCAGCGTTACAAAAAGTATCTCTGAAAACTGCATATCAAATAACGTGACAATCTTAGGCTAAAATAATTATGGTTTTCGTTTTAACGTTCATTATATTATAGTATTTGATTTATATAACTACAAAGGTTACCTTACGTAAGGTAAGGGTTTATCGCAGCGAGTGACCAATCTAACACATTTTTGAAATTTTTTATTCCTCTTCTGTACACAATTTAAAGAATTTTTAAAATCTGTTAGATTGGTCCCTCGGTGTGATAAATCCTTACGTAAGGTAACCTTTGTAGTTACAGTGGTATCTCAGGATATGAAATTAATCCGTTTCGAAACTGACATCGTATCATGAAAATGTCGTTAAGGTGAATCATTTTTCCCCATACGATTACATGTAAAACCAAATAATTCGTTCCAACACGAAAAACACACTCAAATTCAAGTAGTACATTAAAAAAAATTATAGTAAGGAAAACACTGAAAAATGCGTTTTGTAGTTGTAAGTGTATAAATAACCATAATAGAAAAATATTTGATTTTAAAAAAAATGTAGTTTTATTTGCACTTTACTTTTGAGGATGGACGTCGGTGAAGGTATAAACTGGTGGCGGAAGAGAGGGAGAAGGGAAATGATACTAAAACTTAACTTACATAACATAATGTAACAATAACTTAAAAATAACTTAGAAAAGATTTTAAAAAAAGTGTTGTTTTATATTTTCTTTTTTTAAATTTTTATTCACTGCTTTTTGCTTTCTTTCCTTCACTTCCACCCAGCACTTTCACTGGACAAAGGTTGCTTGGTAAAATATCTCTCCAAAGAGGTTTGTAAAGCCTACTTTTTAAAATGTTTCTAAAATGACTTAGGCAAATGTCATTACTCCGAGCAGCAATACGGCTAGTGTGAACCTTTTCGGGATGTTTCTTTTCAACAAAATCAGTTACTTTCTGATAATATCTCAAGATTTCCTTTATTGAGGGAGATCCTTCTACGATGAAGCAAACACGCGGACTGAGACCGATGAACAAAAGTGAAAAAAAAATGGCGCTGCGAATTAATGTAACGTCGTATGGTGAGTTTTTGTCCGTACCGTGGAGCAAAATTATGTTCAAATTTCATGACGTATCCTGAAAATTTCGTATGCTGGGGCGTTCGTATCTTGAGGTACCACTGTATATAAATCAAATACTATAATGTAATTTACATGTAAATACGGCCCTAAATACGCCCCACTAACTATAATGTAATATGATATAAGAGTCAGAAGTACAAAATAATCCAATATTCTTATTTTTTTTTTTTTTTGCCCGGCAACGTCGGGCTTACCTGATAGTGTATATGTACAGGGGCAGCGTGAGGCAGGTTCAGCGCGTTCTCCGGAACCCGGCCTCGCAGTCTAAGAAAACTCATCAGACATTTTGCAGGATAGTATAGTAGATTGTATATTCGGGTAGATAGTAGATTGAATATTCGGGTGTGTGGAAAATGCAATCGCATAATCCACTCACTGCGGACGGATGTCCAAACGGTCAAGGTGGCAGCCTACCGCTCTGGAGACCCGGGATCGAATCCGAATGGGTCGAAAAATCCCCAGGAATTTTTTGGGGGTGGTCCGTTCGGAAATGTCAGACCCCGTCCCTCACCACCCGGCAGCCCCATAGTGGGCCTGGCCGAACCCATAATGGTTTGCAAAAAGAGGCCCTCTTAGTGCCCACAGGGCGGAAAGAGTTAATATTTTTGGTTTACTATGTATGAATGAGATTGCGAATTTAGATGACAAATATTTATTAAAAAGTTGTCAAGATCTTCACTTACATTTGGAAGATTTCTACGGAACTGAAATGTTTGAAGAGATTAAGATGTTCCGATCGATAACGCGAGTCAATTATTCGGCTCTAGATGCGATGAAATACATTATAAAAAACAGTCATTCGGAAGCATATCCAAATTTATTAATTGCGTTACAAATATAATGTTAACTACGCCAGTAACCGTGGCTTCAGCTGAACGTAGTTTCTCGCGGTTGAAACTAATAAAAAAATTATATTCGATCATCAATAAGACAAGACCGATTTACATCTATGGCTATTCTTTCAATAGAAAGCGAAATAGCAAACTCAATCAATTTTGATGACGCAATCTTCTGCCTTTGCTCACAACGGCAGAAGTGAGAAATAGTGACAAATCACAAAATTGGTCGAGAAAAAGTGACTAATTTAAAAATAGTGATCCGTTCCGAGACCTGTAGACATTATTTTAAAAAATCTGCTGTATTCCCGCGCAAATACGAAGTCTTACACGTGAAAAAAGCTTGTTTTTGCGTGTTGAAACACAAACTGCATGCTCTTAAGTATGTCAGTGTTTTCTTCCTTGTAAGAGCACTGCACTACTGTGTCGACATGAATTAAATCTAAGTACACCGATATGAGATCGCTATGGTAACTATTATTAAAAATTTTAAAAAAATGCTTCCGATACTATAAATTTCTTTTTAAATACTGGGTTTATTAAGTAATTTGCAGAACACAGTGCTTATTTTATCTATCCATAAGAGCCGAAATATGGTAACCATTTTAAATTAATCACTTATTCATCTGAATCACGCAGTCTTGTTGAAAAAAGTAAATACTTATTCTCCTAAATGTTATTTAGTGCTAGAAAATTAAACAATTACGCGAAACTCATTTTAGGCAATATTTTCATTCGATTAATTTTAAATATATACACAATTCGTGGTTCAGGAGAGCGACTTACTCACCCGAACTAGCACAAACTGTCTGAACAATTGAATCGACAATTTCATATTGATTTTTTCAATATTAAAAATTATATATAGTCGACCCCCTATAACACTGTTGATTATTCCATTTTATATGAATTCCATGTTGTACGAGTCACTTAAATTTTACAAATACGCGTGCCGGTTTGTGAACGGCTCATGTATTCGTAAAATTAAGTGACTCGTACAACATGGAATTCGTATAAAATGGAATAATCAACAGTGTTATAGGGGGTCGACTGTATAATTCGGTATATTATAGATATTTTCTATTCTATTTAAAGCATATTTAATATCAACATCAACATAAATTAAATTTTTATAAATACTGTAAGGTCTCGTTTTATGCGGTGGTGATACGTTCTACAGAAAAGCGCATATAAAAAATTCGCATAAAAAGACTTTACTTGCCTTGAAAAAGTAGGGATACGTTCCGTAATTTTCTAAAATCGCATAAATCCANTTTTAAAAGATAAAAAGTCATATATAAATCATATAATTTAAAAAACGGCAAGAAGAATGAAATTTTCTAAATTCTGGAATGTTATAAGTATGTACAATCACATAATAATGTTAAAAAAATTCGGCAGGATAATTTCATTTAATTTGTCACTTTTTAACTTTGTTGGATTCCATACTGGAACAATGTGTGCCATTTCTAATAAGTGACATAAAATATACACTAACAACAAACATTGCTGGCAACAAAGAATATACAAACATTTGTGAGAACTATTTTCATTCTATGGACATCATCAGGACAGCAACTTTTCAAATTTGGAAGAATTTCTTATGACTATTCATTCACATTTAAAGTTTATAAGTAATATCATAGATATAAAAATATTATGTGAAAAAGTCTATCATCACATAACTTTACAATAGGCTAAAATTTTCTTTCATTACTTAGAATTTCATCTAATATTTAAATGAATTAATTATTCAAATTTACATGTTTATGTACATAAACCAAGTTTAGATTGAAATTTTCTTTCTCAAATAAATATTTGTGCAGAAACAAGCTGCCATTTCACATATTACTTCACACGTTAGTTTAACATGCTGATGGAAACTAGGAAATATCTTTCCTTTCAAGTTATTAAGCCTGAGTGGTATGGGCGGGGACTTTCAATGAAAGAGATTTGTCATGGAATGATTCCAAATGAAACATTATATACATAAAATTTCATTTATATTAAAATAATTCTAATCACTTTTTCCTGAGTTGAAATATACTGGGAATGTTAGGTTTAGAAGCATTTGATCTTGCTGCAAATATTTTAGTCATTCTGTTCTTGACATCTTCCATGCTAACTGGCGATGATTGCAAAATAATTGCTGAACGACTGAAATTTTAAAGTAAAATCAAATATTTATAAAGCTCAATTTATTTAAGCAAACATTATATTTTTAATTTGTTTCTTACTTTTCTGCAGATTTATTGATGTCTGCCTTTGTTTCAAACTCTTTGATCATAATGTCAACAGTTTCTGCATGTTCAGGATCACATTGTTGCAAATCTGTCAAGAGATATTTCAAACCAGGCAATACTGATTCAGCTACAACAACATCAGTTATAACTAATTTCATGTTAAGAAATTTCAAGTAATTCATTTATATTTTTATATTTTACATATTATATATTATACAAAAATTTACATATCTTTATGTACCATAGGCATGTTATTGATGTACAGATTGTTTCAGATATATTAGCTAGGTAATGTGTGATATTCATTGGGCTCTGAAAGTTTTCAAAAATTCAAGTCTTTTTTTGGTTTCTCGTAAAAGATCAAACATTTGTCAACAATCTGTTTCCTTCACTAAGTAAATAAACTAGTCCCTATTACTCAAGCATTATTCACAATGTCGTGGATCTGACTTTTTCTAGCTATCACCGCTAGCAATTGTGTTCGTCCTTAAGATTTGGCACGTACATACGAATAATGCACGAAAAGATCTAATAAATATATACATAAAAACAACACTTGATATGACTAAATTAAACTTTTCTCCCCTTATTTTTCATTTTCTACTTTTAAAACAACCAATATTTATAATTACTTTTATTTAATGTTAGAATCACAGTAGAATAATTTACAGCTATATACCAAGATCATTCAATTTGAATTTTTTTTAAACTTACAAAAATGAAATTATTTAATTATATTATCAGTCAGAAATGTGTATGTTTAATAAAAAATTTATTCACATTCTGTATACAGTTAAATCAGTAAAAATTTAAATTCCATAAACACTATTATAAACAAAAAATTTCAACTATTCTGAAGCTATCTTAAACATTTTTTTGTTTTATTTTTTGGTGGCAGATTGTATAGCTTTATCTATCTGATATGCACATTGTAAAAGGAATAATTATAAACTTTAATGGCTGGTATATACTGTAGTTCAACATGATGACAATGTTCATTCATGCACATATTTCTGGCAGGAAAACATACATCCAGTGATTTTAACATGATATACATGCACAGCATGCAGTCATTTATCAAGATTGCTTTTAACTATTGTCTTATAAACTATGACAACTTATATTGCAGTCGTCCAGTCAAAATGTAAATCAAAATTAATTTTGTAACTTATTAAAATATTGTTTACAAACTTTTCATTCTGAATATACTGTATGAAATATACTTAGAATGAAAATATATTTATTATTATATATTTATACAATATATAATAATAAATATAACAAATTTTATTTGTTTCNAACGATGGTGAAAGAAAGATAGTGGTGCCCGCACTATCGATAGTATCGTGATAGAGGAATCTATAATTCAAAAATGATCTTTTAGAGGCAAAAGAAGGGCTCCAATTGTAAAATTTAACCATTAAATGGATTATTGTTAAAAGAGCATTCAAAGTAGCCACGAAAACAATTAGAATGCTTGTGCAGAGTTACGCTGAGGTATAAAAGAACGCACCCTTTATTACATTTCATGTTGTACAAGGGTTTTACCCAATCCCTGAACTGTGTTAGAGCGAACCCGTGCTGTAAAAGCACAGTGTTATACGGGGATGTTCCGAATTCTCGAACCATGTTAGAGTGAATCCATGCTATAGAAGTGCTGTGTTATACAGGGGTTACCTGTACATTTAATTTTTAGTTAAATCCATTTTACATTTATGTATTTCTATTTAAGTTTCTATTTTAAATTTATGAAATTTAATTATATGTAATACTTGTTCTAATGTAAATATTCTATTTTATACACCAATTCATTTGTAAGCTGAGGATGGCTAGCTTTATGGTTAAAAAATTTAAATTATATATTTAGTTTTCCAAAACAAATGCACTCCTTAATTTTAGTTATCTCAGATGATGTCAGAATATCAAAAGTTGATTTTACAATTATTCTATTAAAATATTATATCATTAAAAGGATACAGCAACATGATAATGCAGTATATGCTTCCAATAAAGCCATTGCTATATCATTTTTCTTTGTCTGATTACTTACATTGTTATTTTGTGCTGCCAAAACCATTAACTTTGGTAAAATAACTAGAAAAAATTAGTATATTGATAGATATTTTAAGATAAAAAGATATTCTATCATTTTATGAATGAATAAACTTTTAATTACTTACAATCATCTCTATATTTTGGATCGATATTAGAACCAACTCGAGCAAAAGTGCGAATAATTTCTATCTGAAATGTATGTTGATTCAGATATTGAGGATCATCAAGAAACGTTTGGAATTGCATGTGGACCTTGTCCAATAACTAAGAAGTACAAATTATATGAATAAAAATAAAATAAAATTTTAAATCTGTCAGATTAAAACTTAATTTTACATCTTTTTGTGATGTAACTTCTAAAATAGATCCAAATGCTTGAATTGTAGCAATTCTGACTTCACTAAAATAAAAAACAAATTATGGCAAACATTGCTTGAAACTCATTTTAAATAATTTAATTTAAACCTACATTTCTGGATCACTAGCCAGGGTTACTAATGCTGGAACAATTCTATTTTTTAATAAAGTCTCACTAGCAACTCCAACTAAAATTTCAAAAAGGCGACCAGAACTTGTTCTAACTAAAGCAGATGTATGCACCACTCCATCCCATAACATTGCTAGAGCAGTTTCATGATAGGTAGGTGAAGAACTAAATAAAAATTATTAAATACTTAAATTATTAAATGTAAATAATATGTTATAAAGTGTATTATAATTATCTTCAGTATAACTTAATACAGGAAATCCTCATTAGTTTGAAATTCAGGAGATGAAATATTTTTGACTTCAAATTATCCAAGATTTACATATTTCTGTATAATATGCCAAATGCCACATAACTGTTGTAATTTATTAAGCAAACTGAATATGGCTACTTATACAGAATGCTATTTTCATTCATTAATAATTAATAATAATATAAACTGCAGGTAAACAGTATATGTCTGGTGAAAACCTCACAGGTTACCAGATAGGTTTTATAAAAAGTAAAGCAGAATTCCTCAAAATGTAGCCCAAATTGTTTTTAATGTGGCCCAAATAGTAGTAAGTTGTCCAAATGTAATAGATTGAAGGTTACAAGTATCAGATCAAGATATTTGTAGGGCTCTACAAATATCTTGCAGCCCAATCTTGCTTGCAATCCTGAAGACCAGCCATATTTTATGAGATAAGAGGAAAAAAAGAGTACAGGTAACCCCTGTATAACATGGTAGTTACGTTCCAAAAAATTGCCATGTTATGCGAATCCNTCTACTCAGCTAAGCCTCTATTAATGTATTATATATTTAACAAAATGGATAAAGAACACAAAATTTTAAACTAATCTTTCTTGCAAATACTTGAGAATTATATTGAGTGGCTTTACCATGAAATAATGAGAGGGTAGTACTGTACTACAATATATATCCAACTCAGCCAAACTGAAGGGTGCAATCACTGGTAGTGCTCTTGTAAATATGAACTCCCTATATGCATGCAAGTAATCTATAAACTTTTGAAAAAGCTAAGTTTTAATACTACATCGTAATAATTAGTCAAATTTATTAAGTTTACATACTGTAGTTCTATATTTTATAGAGTTAAGTAATTTATATATTGCGTTACATAATCATATGCTGTCACAATTTCATAGAAACAAAAATAAAAAGTGTTTAAAATTATCATAAAAATTATACATGATAAGATATAGAAATTTTTATAAAAAGTTATTTTTATAAAAACTATTAGTACTTAACTATGTAAAAATTTATTACATTTCATGTTGTACGAGGGTTTTACCCATTTCTCAAACCTTGTCAAAGTGAATCTGTGCTATAAAAGTACCGTGTTATACGGGGGATGGTACCAATTCTCGAACCGTGTTAGAGTGAATCCGTGCTATAGAAGTGCCGTGTTATACGAGGGTTACCTGTATTCCATGGGTAAGGTGACACCCAAAAATGTGATATTGTAAAAGCAAAGCCATATTAACCAGATTAGAGTTGTTTTCTTATAGCATGGAGGCACTTTGATCTAAATGAATGATTCAACGTACACATATCACAGTTTGGACAAATTTCCATTTCAAATTTCGAAATAGCCATATTTGAAACTAACTGAATTCCTTAACATGTAAATCTCTATGTACCATTCTTTTATCCTGGCTATAAAAGCAGTTACAAACTAACAGGGATTTCCTGTAACTGATTACTATTTTATCACTCATAACTTCTTGAATGATTGCTGGGTCTATTAACTTCAGTCTATAATAAAAAACAAAAAAGGCAAATTTCAATGTATAAAGAATTTTTTTGATAAAATATTTTATCAACAAAAATTAAATTTAATTAACTGGGGGANAAAAGATCAAACATTTGTCAACAATCTGTTTCCTTCACTAAGTAAATAAACTAGTCCCTATTACTGAGCACTTTTACAGCTCAGCCAAGATTTGTGAAATGAGCAGTAATCTGGATTATACAATTATATTTCAGATATCAGGAAATACTAACAAAAATTTTATTGGTTACAGAAAAAGAATTAACAAAAGTAATGAAATTGCTATTTTAACAACTAAATAGTAAGTTATTTTTTAAAATATGAAATAACTAACACACTTATTTTATATTTTCAATTTTAAGTATATTAACAGCATATTCAAGTAAGAAAACATGGTTTTAGCTATTATAATTTGTACACTGTAAAGTATAAAATTGTCTAGTTTTACTTTGATCATTTTTAATAAATGTGAATGTAAAACAATGAACAGAAATATATTTTCACATATAAAGATTTCTCCTTTATCCATTTTTTTTTTATCTAAAAAGAAAATAAAGAAAACTTGGTAACATATTGCAAACCAAAATTAAAGACAATGTTTATTTCAGAAAATAGAGAGCTAGAAAAATAAAAATGAAGTAGGGTTATTAAAATTTGAACATTAATTTGATAAAGAAGATTAATATTCAAATTTTGATTATTCTAGCACTAAATACAGGTAACCCCCATATAAAATGGATGTTACTTTCCAAAAAATTGCTGTGTTATGCGAATCCATGTTATATGAAACAAATAACTAGTGCGAAAAGGGAGGTTAGGNAAAATATTTTATCAACAAAAATTAAATTTAATTAACTGGGGGACTATAAGAGATGATCCCCTCCAATTTGGCTGAGTTTGATATATATCATAGTCCCAACCTTCCAGTAATCTTATAATATAATCAAGACGGGTTGATAATGATGATAAGTGCAGAATCCAAACGGTTAGGAGTTGAAAGTTGAAATTTGGTACACAGTTAGGGTATGCCATGAGAATACATATGAAGAAGGGATTTTTCGAAATTCCCACTGTGGGGAGAGAGAGAGAGAGAGGGTTAAGGATTACCCCAAAGAACTCGGCTTCTACTGTACTATTTTAAATGTCTTTTTTGCATTTATGCGGGAAATCGAACATATTTTTAGACCCTTCTAAAAATTCACCATCATATATAAAGATGACACAGGAAGTGCATGTGCATAGGTTTGCTTTATTCAAACTCTTCGTCTTAATGTTTGATTTTATGTTTGAATTTATATTTACAAATGATTCGGGGAGATCCAGCTTATTTTTCAAATTTAGTAAACCTGAAGAAGAACCCAGGAAAGGGTTACGAAAACATTTGTTATTCATCACTTTGTGGTACTATGCATTGGTTAGTGGTTGCTGTGAATCTTAATTAATTATCGTTATCCCAGTGTTGTAAGCAGATATCTAAAAATTTTCTACTTAGTCTCGGAAGAGGGGGGACCTAATTCTTGCACTCGATAAAAAGGGGAAGGTCAGCTATAATCCAATAATCTTAATCTTTGCTATTGTTACTTTTTGTCTGAGCAACACCAGGCTCATCTGCTAGTTCATGATAAAGTTACTTGATGCAACTATCAAGAAAACATGAGAAAAATGAATTTAAAATTTTCTTTGTTCCTTTTGAACTGAGTTATATTAATATCGATAATATGTTAGCAGTGGTATTGCCAAGTGGATAAGGTGTTAAACTGCTATACTGTTTATTGGAAATTCATATCATACTTTAAGTTTTCTAATCTACATTGAAGTGGATTATTATGTAAAGTACTTTGAAGACTTTATTCATTATAATTCAACATTTTATACCTTGAAATTTCCAGGTAGACATGCAGCAATATTACACAATAACAAAAACCCCTTGCAAGTATTGAATTATTGGTGTAGCAACGTGGGTGAATTGTGGGAGTCATGAGGTATGAACTTTCTTACTTATTATAATTGTAATCATTTGCTGAATAGTTTCATATCACATAGCATCTTCAACACACTCATACTGCTACACTAATAATTCAAGACTAGACAAGATAGGAGCTTTCTATTTACTCAACAAATGCTACTGATGTGATATAATGTTGTAGAAAGAAAAATTATAAAAAAGTGGAAAATAATTTGAAATGTTTTATTGAATAGCAAGTGTTATAATTACACTACACTAATAGTCCATTTCAATGCCAATTACAGAAAAACTTTTAAAAATGTAAGATTCAAATCTACAATATATAACAGAGTGGTTGAACACCTTATCTACTCAGCTAAGCCTCTATTAATGTATTATATATTTAACAAAATGGATAAAGAACACAAAATTTTAAACTAATCTTTCTTGCAAATACTTGAGAATTATATTGAGTGGCTTTACCATGAAATAATGAGAGGGTAGTACTGTACTACAATATATATCCAACTCAGCCAAACTGAAGGGTGCAATCACTGGTAGTGCTCTTGTAAATATGAACTCCCTATATGCATGCAAGTAATCTATAAACTTTTGAAAAAGCTAAGTTTTAATACTACATCGTAATAATTAGTCAAATTTATTAAGTTTACATACTGTAGTTCTATATTTTATAGAGTTAAGTAATTTATATATTGCGTTACATAATCATATGCTGTCACAATTTCATAGAAACAAAAATAAAAAGTGTTTAAAATTATCATAAAAATTATACATGATAAGATATAGAAATTTTTATAAAAATTTCTATATCTTATCATGTATACAGTTTTACATAATTCTAATACAGCTTCTACAGCTTACCATAATTCTAATATAGTACTTTGTATACTTTGTAGATATTATTACCATAATATCTACAGCTTACCATAATTCTAATATAGTACTTTGTATGCTTGCTAATGGAGCATGACACAGTGATAATGTGCATAATAATTCTTGCAGAAATGATAATAATTCTTTTCTATCTTCATCCTTAAAAATAAACACAATATTTCTTTTTAAATATTATTTTAAATAAACAACAGCCTAATGCAATATTTAAAATATAATTTCTACATTGTAAATTTCATATACTGTGGAAAAAGTATATATATTATAACACTAATTAAATTATTTATAAAAACAATACAGAAGAAATCTAACTTCTCAGTAAATATTGCATAAAATCTGTTAATTAGGTTTCAGATTTCACACTGGAGTTTCATAGCTAAAGTTATTAATTATACAAATGAATCAATGTGTACAAATTTTTAAGATCTATAAACAACTAAAAAATCTTATTTACAGTTGCATAACTGTCTTTCATTTATAAAATTAGTTTTATATCACTTTTATTAATAATACTTCAAAAAATCTTGAATTAATGACACATTCTAGATTTTTTTTTCATATTAACATAATATTTATGTTAATGGGTAGAATGTTAGTGAATAAATGAAGAGAAAAATTTTATCTATATGAAAGAAATGCCATAAGAAATATATTTTAAAAAACCCTGAAGTGTTTATTAGTAAACATCATTCATATAGCTAATGAAGACTAGCTTCATTGCCAACTGAAATGAATTTTAATACTTCTAGCTATTTCTAATATATTCACACATTTATAGAATATAAAACTGTTGTGTAATGTTATTAAATTTTAAATACACAACATACTTGATGAAAGACTGTCAAAACTCCTGCAGCATATACAGGTATTGTGGCATCAGCAAGAGCAGGATGTTTTAAATGAACACCATAATCTATAAATAAAATAAATTTTAGAGTTAGTAATTTAAAATTCTACAGAGTAAATGAGAAAATATTATAAATTACCAAGTTCTTCTTCAGGAATTTTTACCCTATTTAAGAATAATGGTTTCACTTTTCTTTTGACAAAATTCTTTCCAAATAAATGACAAAAATAATGCATAAATTCTACAAATGAATGGACTATAATTTGTCTTGGAGGATTGATGAAGGATAACACATTCATTAACCATGGAAGACTAAAAAAAAATAAATTAGAAATATTGTTATATGCAATAATACATTAAATTCTGGGTAAACTTTTGATTTTAATTACAACATATATCAATTTTATTATCTACTTGATATTAAAAATTGCTTAAAATATCAATAATTCTACACCATTAATTTTAACCAGCTATTTTTACTATTATTATTATACTAAAGTTTAATTAAAGACATCAATATATTCTCTATCAACTGGATAAATAGACAACAAGAAAAACACACCTTTAAAAATCCAGCAAATAAATTTACCAATAAAAATGTTTTCGATCAGTTTAACCGATCCTCTTCAGTTACAATTAAATAGAATGTGAAAATGGAACGTAAATTTAAAAATAAACAATAAACCATAATTCCAAAATAAATACATAACTGAAATCATAGTTGTGAATAATAAATAAATAACTACAGAAATAAAATAAACAATAAAAAGTAAACACAGATGAATAAATGTCCCTTAATAAAATTAACTTTATAAAAAGACCACCATGTGGTAGCTGAGTTGTCGGTGTCTCTGTGGTTGATGCAACTGGATTTTTTGTGCGCTTTAAAAATCTCCAATCTTTCAAGATATCTCATAGTATTTATATTCAATGTTAGTTTGGTGATTGATGCCTGCTCCCATTGTACCTGAATGTCCTGATGTTGTGCGCAAGCTGCCAACATCATGCTATCAAGATTTTTATCAATTGTATAGAGCCATTATTGTAAGTTGCACATGGTGGAACCCACATAAACCAGTTTTGATTTGAAATGTTGGTCAATTATTGGGATGGAGTAAATCCCTGCAGCCAAATTATGGTTATATGGTTTTTTTTTTATCATTCCTTAAAATTTTGAATATCATTGGATTGTATTGATATACAACTTGGAGATTATTAGTTCTGGCTACTTTCCTATGCCTTAAAAAGGGGAAATAATTCAAAACCACTCTTCGTTTCTGGATCCCCGATGTATTCTGATGTTTTGTTTGAAACATTGTGATCAACCTCCAAATCATTTCTATTGGATAACCTTGTTGTTCTGCAATCTTTAAGATGTAATTCAGCTCTGATATGGTGTCACTTATGCTGATAACGTGTATATGCCCTTCTTATCGAGGATCTGAAGGCTGCCAATCTGATGTGGAGAGGATCCACAGAGTGATGTGGAATTAAAATGGGTTGAAAACAAGGTTTCCTGTATACCTTGGTCCAAATTTCGCCATATTTGTAAGAGACAGAAATGTCCAAAAAGTTTACAGATGTTTCACTCTCCTGATCTAATTGTAGGAATAATCCATAGGGGTTATCATTGATCTCCTTTAAAAATTGCTGTAGGTTTGGTTTTCTCTGCCACAAGATATCATCAACATATCTAGCGTATAATCAACCATAGAGACTCCAACAACTTAGCTATAGCATGGTAGTCTTTTTATAAAGTTAATTTTATTAAAGGACATTTATTTGCCTGTTTTTACTTTTTATTGTTTACCAGCAGATGAGCACAGTGTTGCCCTGGCAAAAAACAACAACAAAGATCAAGATTATTAGATTATTTCATACTTCCAATCCTTCTATTCTAGTAGCCCGAGACGCCCCTCATGGGTGTTCTAGCAGGACTGGTGTCATTCCATGGTATAAATAATAAATTCCTATTATAAATATTCTGAATTTCTCATGGCGTACCCTACTAAAACGCAGCCAAAAATGCAAAAAATACTGCATGAAATAATAATATACTGAATTTATTGTTAATTTAAATAATAGCTAGGGGCCTCCCTAGTGGCCATTTTTGGCATACAGTGACAGAAAGAAAGAATCTGGTTTTTCAGCTTTATATATATAGATTTTCTTTCTGTAGTTATTTATTTATTATTCACAACTATGATTTCAGTTATGTATTTATTTTGGAATTATGATTTATCATTTATTTTTAAATTTATGTTCTATTTTCACATTCTATCTCATCGTAACTGAGAAGGATCGGTTAAACCAATTGAAAATGTTTTTATTAGTAAATTTGCTGAATTTTTAAAGGTGTGTTTTACTTAATATTTTTTTATTTTTCACAAACAAAATAGCCATATTAATAAACGTAAAAACAAAAAAATTATATTTTGGAAGTTAGTTTTAATATAAAAATTATGCTGACTAATGACATCTAGTGTCAAAAGCGTCCCGATGCAGAAACGAGATATATCAGGTTCACAGGTCAAGGTCATCATGTTTAAACCCAAGATATGTCGAGAATACCAGGGAATAGGTTAATGCATATTGGCTTCTTACGATTATTACTAATATAAATTTATTATAAACTTATTACTTATTTTTAATCTTTAAAATTAGTATTAAGAAATTACATAATTTTTTTTTTATGTACAATTGTTTGAAAAATCTTTTAAACTTATTTCGAACTACATNTTCACAACTATGATTTCAGTTATGTATTTATTTTGGAATTATGATTTATCATTTATTTTTAAATTTACATTCTATTTCATCATAACTGAAGAGGATTGGTTAAACCGATCAAAAATATTTTTATTAGTAAATTTATTTGCAGGATTTTTAAAGTAGTGTTTTTCTTGTTAATTAAAAGACATAATATTAATCTTATTTCTTATTTAACACTGAACTATTTGATTTTTTTTTTAAATTAAAGCTTATTTATTGTCACTGTTAAAAATATGTTCAACATTAATTGCAAACATGAAATAATTACAGTGGGTAATCAGTTAACAAACAGATCGGATAACGAACACTTTCATGAAAGATTTTTATGTTCAAACAACGAACACATGATCGGATAATGAACACCCCCATAGAACAAACACAAGAAGAAGCAATGTAAAATAATGAATATCAATTGGTTTTCCCTTGTCTTCGGGCAACAATTCGAAACCTTTCGGAGTATGGGAGACATTGACATCGATGCTCAAGCTGGTATATTCTGACTGGATAATATTCCTCCGAACTTGAAACTCTCCCTTGTAATTCCAGCCTTTTATTTTTCTGACAGAACAATTCTTTTATAGTATTCACAAGACTGTCAGGTGGGCACTCATTAAGTTTTGCGTCGGTTTTTATTTTCAAAAGGTGAGAGTGGGCAGATGTCTGATGTCTGTTGTTGCTGGGCAGTATGGCTTGAACAGATCTACAGTAGGCCTCAGTTCAATCTTATCTAAGAAAGTTACTGTATTATCAAGAAGACTCAAGCAGCTAAAAGAGTAACAAAAATCACATCTGAGATATAAAGAACATCGAAGAGTTCATAATGGAATCCGAAACAGATCTGACGACAGAAGAATGCCAAGAACTCTTGAATGAAGAACAGCAAGAAACTCAGCGAGATATGTTTTCTTCTGAAAAAAAGGATTAATGCCGATATCTGTTATTAAAGATGTTTTGTAATAGTAGGAGGATGTCAAAATAACGATCATAGAATGGCATCCAAACCAGGTTGAGGCTTGGGGATTTCTACAATTGCAATGCTATTAATAGCTACTTACAAAAAATCCTGAAGAGAGAAAAGCAATCGACATTAGACAGATTATTTAACCCTTTCAAACGGAAAAAACATGACTAATAAAAATGCAAGATTGTGTATGTATGTATTTTTATTATTACATATAAATAAACACAGTAAGAAAGTATATATTTTTTATTTTTGGGGGTCTCCAGAACAAATTAATTAAATTCCCATTAAAACCTATGGTAAATTAATAATCGATTAACAAACAATTCGGATAGCGAACAAAGTCTTGGAACGGATTATGTTCGTTAACCGATCACCCACTGTATATGTTCAGTTGATTTAAAATAATGGCCAAATATAATCAAATCTTATTAATTTAAGCATCAGATTAAATTCAAAAAGCTCAAATTATCCATTTTTAAAAATTCAACCAGTTTTCTGAAGTTCATCAATATTTCATGTTATTGAGATATGTTCTCTTGTCACTTACTTTTTCATTCCTTTAATCATTTCAACATTTTATGCTAAACTTGTGTATATTCCAAATTTAGACATCATAAAAGCATAACTAAGTAACTCCAGTTTTAGAAAAAATTGTTAATAAAATTTGAAACACATGACAATTTTGCACATGCTACATGAATTTATATTGGGTTGTCTGGAAAGTTCATGCCGATTTGTGGTAGGTGGCATAAGGACAGGTCTGAACATATCAGAATGATTGAAAACAAATGACATGTGTGCATATCATAAAAGACAGTACTTCAGACATATTTGGTAAAAAATTTGGTTATGATATGTTAATTTTTGTCAGTTTTATATGCCTTTGAATATGGAAGAAAACAATGTGCATCTTAGGTATTTAATACTTTTCTTTTACCAGAAAGGCAAAAATGTCACACAAGCAGCAAACAAGATATGCGCTGTTTATGGCAAAGGTGCTGTAGCTGAAAGAACTGTGCGGAAGTGGTTTGCTAGGTTTAAAGCTGGTGATTTCAACCTTAAAAATCAAGAACGCCCAGGTAGGCCTTCCACCACAGACAAAGATCAGATTAAAACACTGATCGAGAATAACCCACACCATACGACATGTAAATTAGCAGACATGTTAAATATGTCAAAATCCACCATCCACGAGCATTTTGTGACGCTTGGCTACATAAACCGTTTTGATGTATGGGTTCCCCACAATTTAATGGAGAAAAATCTGATGGATCGCATTTCCATTTGCAACTCGCTCTATAAACACAATGAGGAAACAGTTTTTGAAGCAAGTAGTGACAGGGGATGAAAAATGGATCATTTATGATAATGTTAAGTGAAAAAGATCTTGAGGATAACGGAATGAACCACCTTTAGCCACCCCAAAAGCTGGTCTTCATCCATAGAAAGGTCATGCTCTGTGTCTGGTGGGATTGGAAAGGGATCCTGTATTATGAGCTTTTATCAAACAACGAGATGATAAATTCAGAAATGTATTGTTCCCAAGTAGGCAAATTAAAGACAGCAATTGAACAAAATTATCCAGAAACAGCGAATCGGAAGAGCATCGTGTTTCATCAGGACAATGTGCAGCTCATGTGTCTTTGATAACTCGACAAAAGTTGTTGAAGCTCAGTTGGGATGTTCTACCCCATCCACCATATTCACCAGATCTCGTGCCCTCTGATTTCTGCCTATTTCGTTCATTACAAAATTCCCTTAATAGAAAAATCTTCAATTCTTTGGTTGAGATAAAAATCACATAGAAAAGTTTTTGCTGAAAAACCAGAGAGATTCTGGAAGTATTTTTCAAGTTGCCTGAAAGATGGAGAAAGGTTGTAGAACAGAATGACACTTATATAATTCAACAAATGTATACTAAAATTTAAATCTCCTGCATTTCAATTTTCCTTCAAAATTGGCATGAACTTTCCGGATAACCCAATAGATTATGTACATTTTGGGAAATCCCTGAAATGCATACATTCAATAAATCTTTTGATTCTGTGCTGCTATCTTTCTTTAAACTGTTTTTGAAATATGAGAGAAAGTATTTTTCAGGAATCTTGACAAAGCTGCTGTGATGTACAGTAGAAAAAGGAAAGTCTATGTTAATATTCTGATCTACAAGGTATTGAAGGTTCCTTTAAATTGCATCATTGCTCCAGGAAACTTCTTTTGTTATGATAGCATAATTACCATTTTCATTATGTTCACACTAATAAAATTTCATTCAATTCTAGCACTACCTTCTTGATGCATAACTTTATTTGTCAATAAGTGAATATAGTGTATCAGAAGAATGTGTAAAACATTCAATTCTCTGAAGTTTACTAGGAAAAAAACATTTAGACTTTGTAAAAGTTTCATTACACACATTTCTGCAATCTAATTATATATTATAATATAATTTTTCAACGTATAATATTATTTAATGTTAAACAAACTTAAAAATGTAATTAAAATTTATAATTGAATCTTATTAAAAATTATAAAATTGCAGTCATTAAATATACAGAGTAAATTAACTAATTTACAATTTGCATCTATAAATTAATTAGAACTAATTTTTATATAAATAAAAAAACTTACAATGATTTAGTAATCCAATTATGTATTTCCCAAGGTTTATACCATTCTTCATTAATGTGTTTATCATATCTTTCAATCAATGTTGTTAAAATATGGGCATCACCAATTATGACATTAGGATCCTGAAGTTGACTAGGAGATACTGGTAGACGATCCACTAAATAAAACACTTTATGTAAATAATTAATCATTTTCATAAATATATTTTACTCAAAAAAATAAAAGTTTTTAGTTTGATGGGATACAGAAATGCAACAAATGGAGATACAGGATACTTTCAGTGGAAAACTGGCCCCTATTTAGATGTCAAATATATGAAGAAAACACAAAAAATTCCACATGATCAGCTTGTTGGTCAGGTGAAAACCTGAGACCAACTACAAGTATTCAGTGGTTTTAACTACTCAGCCACTGGCCAAATAAATAATAATAAAGTAACTAATAAAATAATTTTATTAATTATATTAGGAACTTGTAATTGTATATATTGTAACAAAATTTTTGAAACCAAATTGGTTTAAATAAAAAATTTGTTGTTGTTAAAACAATATTTATAAAGTTTATTTAGTCATATATATTATAATTTAAATTAAAAATTTTATAGATTTACTTACCATACGTAAAGAAATTACCCTAAAGTTTCAAGGTCCCGAGTCCAAAAATGTAAAAATCTTGGAGGGTCAGTTTTTGACCAATCGCCATACTTTCCCTCTGTTATATATAACAGAAGGGAAAGTAAAAATGAATTAACGAACCAAATATCCCATAAAAATTATGAAACTAAACCAAATTTTAAATTAGAATCCCTCCTGATAGTAATGGGTAAAGGTCTCCTATAAATAGTAAAGGTATCATACAACATTGTAGGATATCTTTTATTTGTATAATTAAGGTTTGTCAAATTTGACAAACATTAATTATACAAATAAATCATATTTACATTAAGTAATTAAATAGAAAACTCAAACATATAATATAGTTTTCTGAAAAAAAAATTTGTTTCATATTTTGAAACCATGTTGTATCTTCATATTAGTTTTTCAAAACCGCAATGCAGCGTAATAATCAACACTTGGCATAACTCATTCATTTATTTCAGTTTTTGTTGACAACAAAAACTGAAATAAATGAATGAGTTTGAATATGAATGAAAAAAAAAATTTATTGAAGCTATTAATCAAAGATATTTCTAGTTGAAAGGTCAGTACAATAATTTGTATTATATTGATTTAAAAATATAAGTTATTTTTAAATCTTAATAAAAATTGCATTTCATACCTTCCAATTCAGTGGTTGTTTTGCTTGGAGAAATATCACTCTTATCATCATTAAAAGGACCTGACTGAAGCAATGATACAAATAAAAATGGAAGAATTATCTGAAGAGCTTTTATCAATAAAGCCAATTGTTGTTCTTCAGTTGAAGGTACTGGGTTTTCATCTTGTGTCCTTTGAGTTAATAACTATAAAAAAATACATTTAATTTATTAAGTATGAGAATGTTCAGATTTTTAAACAATATCATATAAAAATTTTATAAGGAAGAAATTAAATTGGAATAAATTTCCAATATAAAATCCTTCAAATATGACTTAGTTATTAAAAACAATGCTTTCAATGTTGCCTGACATAAAAACTTAAGTGTTAGTATTAGTATGTGAAAGCTTAATAAGCTCAGAATGTATTCCTGTTTGCTTGCACATATGTGAATACATACTCTTTACCACACCTAATCTAGCCCAAGAAGTTAATTTGCATTTCACATTTTTAATTGATTTGCAAAAAGTAACTGAATTGTTAAATCATTTGATGACATGTTTGTTTATTTGTCAAATGATGACTATATAATGAGACATTAATATATTAACAAGTTTTGGGTTTGAAGCAATCCTGATCATTATAATTTATCATGTATAATTTACGTTAAGTATTAAAATTTCTTTTCTCATCTATGTTATTAGGCCTCATCTGTAATGAACACTATAATACTACATTTGCACACAATCCACGACTCACTTCGATCTCGATTTACCTACAATCTGGATTGTGACTGTTGCCAGTCATATGTCGTGCTGTTCGCACAGGCAGTCCATTTGAGAAGAATCCTGCTATTACACGCGATGATAAAACTGACATAACTACGCAGTAAGTCACAAACACCAACAAACAAAATGGAAGTTTTGGTTAGAAATAAATACTTTTTCTTGCCTTATATCTAATAATAAACAATGTCATCGTCTCTCCAAATATATTTTTTATTTCTCTGTTGATAGCCCAACATGTGTTCCGCAGCCATCTTGTATTTTCTTGCATATGTGAGATTGTGGGATCTCTCTTATGACTGGATCTAGTTTCAAGAACTCTCTTGAGTCAATTGTGATTGAAACAGTCGAGAGAGGTCGCACCAAGGCATTGTCACCAACCTTGATCACAATCTAGATTGAAATTCTTGGTGTGAACGGAGTATAACCTACATACACCAAAGAAACATTTATTTATTTCCATTTCAGATTTCATGGGGTTGACTTATAATTGAATAAATACAGTATAATATTAGAGCTTTATTAATTTATGATAAGTTCATATAAGTTCTGTTTAAAACTTATTTATATGGATTAATCATTAAAATTTCATTATAAAAAGTATTAAATTTTTTTAATGAAAGCATTCAGCTTTGAGCTATTAAATAATTATCAGCTTACTGTACCTGGATAGAATATTTATCATCATCAAAATTAAATAATAAATTATCAGCTTGAAATAAATCTCTACTCTCCACTAATTTGTAAAATGGCATAAAAAATATTTTGATGTAATAGTAACAATACTTTCATTGCAAAACATTTATACAGAATATCACAGGATTTTATTGTTGATGTAACACTAAAAAATTAGAAGTAATTTCAATTATTACATTTAAAAAATAAGGTTAATTTGAACAAACAAATTCAAATTAATAGACCATTATTTTCAAAATTGCACACTATATGGCACTCCAGCAAACTCAGAAATGTCATGGGGATTTAAATTTTTGTAAGGAACCAAGTCCGAGCATTATTTTTATTTACTTTTATTTTGCTTTTTTATTATATTTTGTTTGGGGCTTATGTTTTGTTAGGATGAAGGTTTCCTCACCATTCATCTTAGAAACTTAAAAATAGAAGAGAAACCAACTCGCCGACGAGAGAAAAGTGCCATAGAAAAAAAACTCACGCACACAGCGGAAAAAAGTAAGTCCGCACCGAGAAAAAGGGGGGAGTGGACCCCACAAGCACAACTTAAATTCGCTAAACCTTAAAAGAATAAAACATCCCGAAAAAATTGTCAAAAAAAAATAATGTAAAAGGTTAGCGAGTATTGTTGGAAAATAGGCTGCCGGACAAATAGAAAAGTTTATTGTTAGCAAATAATTATGTAAATGAGGGGAGTGATCTCATTCAGAATTGTGACGTCACCTCACAGTATAAAAACCGAACGTCAAGTGAAGACGGACGATTTTGAAGTTATTCGATTTGTGGATCAATGAATAGAGAAAGTCTTGAGAGTTGAGGAAATAGGTTCCTAGTATAATGAGGTGACGATTAGGATCTTTAATTCATAAGAATTATTGTATATAAGTTAAGTCTTTGAATTTTGTCGAATTCCAAAGGGGAATAGATTTAAGTTAGAAACTAGATTGATTTGAGTTTTGTCGGGTTGATTCTTATTGAGTTTCATTGAATAAATTGTTATTTGATTTTTACTAAATTTTGTAAATAGTTATTATTAGAATTTTTATTAAATATTTGATTTTGTTATTGACAAACTTTGTCATTATTTAATTCGGTGCACGCTAAAAGTCCAGGCCTGGCACACTAACGCGAATCCGCGTAAAGTACCCGTTAGGTAACGGCTATCTCCGGCACACAGTCGTGTTGATAATCATTGGAAAAGTCGGAAAAATATTAGTACTTTACATTTTTAATGATAAACCAGAACTCCAAATTGAAGAAAGTAGTAGCTCTTCTTCTTTCACACTAATCTCTTCAAAATATAAAATGCATCAAATATTTCTGCAAGGAAGTGACATGCACATTCTAAAACTTAAAGACTTCAGCTTTCAGAAAAACACTACTACTATGGAGAAGAAAACTAAATGATGATGATGGCAAATACTATTTTCCCTCCTGTTGCAGCAATTTGTCATAGCCAATAAAATTGATTTGATTCACAAACTTAAATATGTCTTTGAAAAATACCTAATCTAATTCACTGACTGGTTTGAAAAATACTTTCCAGAAGGTATAGCAAAGTTTTTACAGATTCGAGATCCATTCAATGCTATGGCACCATCTAAATTTAATTCTGTAGAAGAAAATCTTATTGAATTGTCTTTTGATAAAACTTTAAAAATGAAATTTAGCAGTACAGAACAGAGTTTTGGATATCAGTAAAAGTTGAATATCTGCTGCTAAGTATTAAATTTTAGCAAATCATAATTCCATTTTTAATGTCATATCTGTGAAAACTGATATTTAAACAATTGCTTTGATTAAAAGCAAATACTATGCAAATTTCTGGTTAGAACAGGAAACAAAGAGAGCTATGTCTAGTTTGGTTTCAACATTTGGGAATGTATGCAGTACTCTACAGGTGTACATAACATTCCATTAATAACAATGATTATTTAAAGATGACAAAAATCTTTTTTTCTTAGAATTTATGCGTATTACTCTTTCAAACGAGTTATTAAATTATAAGGATAAACAAACATTAAGTTATTTGAATTTAACTACTTAATAATAAACAACAGTTTCAGATATTTGTTTTGCATTTTTAAAAAATTTGCTGAAACACTAAGAACATCAGGGATTCCAAACTTTTTTGGTTCACTGGATTACCTTAAATCCTGTAGATTTGATTCATAGAATATTTCACATAATTATAAAATCCTTAAGATATAAATGCACATTTGTAATAAACAAAATTTTTCTTTTAAACTCTACTTTTTTCTGGAATGGTTCAGACTTATTATCAGAAGTTATATTTATGTTATTTGCTAATAAGAAAATTAGTTATTTGATTATTTCATAAACATTTCATGTTCCAGTTAATTTTTTTATTCAAAAAATTTATTTAAATTTTATTACAGGATACATTAAACATGTAGCTAAATGAATAACAGCAAAATAAATTTACTTGTTCTATTAATTTACTAAATAATTAATTTCCTATTTTATACACGGATTTCCAAAACTTAAATTTTCTAAGATTTCTAGATTGTCAATTCAAATGTTATTTAAATTTTGATAAATAAGTAAGTAGTTAAAACAAATATGTTATTAATTTTTACTATTAAGCAGCACAGTATTACAAGATGCTCAATAGTATGAATTATAAATATCAATGTTCAAAACAGAATTTAAATAAACAATCTGGCAAACAATATCTTAAAAAAATGTAAAAATAATACCGGAAAGTGTCATTAAGGTAACACAATATGACTGTACAATGCCAAACAAAATGACAGTAATGATAAATTAAATTTAAAAAACTTAATGTTATATATAAATACACAAACAATATAGTAATAACAAACAAAATGAAATCTACTTTAGAATGATAATGGTAATCATAATATGATCATAGTCTATAGATATATATGTTATGTTTATTCTAAGAATTATCATTAAATGTCCACTTGAGACTATATTTACAATAAGTCAATGTTACAGATAAATTAAAATTTGCATAGTTAGCATAAAATGTTTAACTTTTAATGTATCTATTTTATGAAATTTGAAAACTAAGAAATAATTCTTGAAGTATGCACATTAACTTAAATCTTACAAAAAATTCTAATATCTTATTCATGGAATAAATAATTTGAAATATTTGTCAAATATTTAAGAACTCATTTTTATGTATAGTTCTTAAATATATGAATTTTATTAGATAATCTAATTATTCTAATTCTAATGTAATAAAATTCTATCTAATAAAATTCTAAATCTAATAAAATTCATATATTTAAGAACTATACATAAAAATGAGTTCTTAAATATTTGACAAATATTTCAAATTATTTATTCCATGAATAAGATATTAGAATTTTTGAATAAATATATAAATTTCAATTCAATAATTATATAGTATTCCAAAATCTGAGAATGACCTATATTAAAAATAGGTTGAAAACATTTTATAAATTTCATTTATAAACAAGCAATATAAATTTTGAGAAACTGAATAATTATAAAAAAGAAAATTTATTATTATTACCTGCACATTTGTTTCTAAAGCTTTCATAATAGTAGAAAATAAATAATTCTCTAGCCTATTTAATTCTAATGCCCATGCAGCAATTGTTGGCAATAATACTGTTAATCCAACTTCAATAACACTGGCACTGCTATCCTCAAAAGTAGTAAGTAATAATTCCATTGCCTATAAAAAGTATCATATTAATATATTAAAGTTTTGAATTTTTACATTAATTTAAGAGTTAGTATAAAAACTCATATTTAAAATTTTTATGGAATATAATACTAAATGTAAAAAAAATAATTTAATTTTTTTCAGTATTATATTCTAAACTGCAGCATTATAATTCTGTGGATAATCCATGGTGGTATGTAACTGGCAAAAAATTGCTAGAATGAAAATAAAATCTTTGTATAACCCACATCACTGTATATGCTGTACCTGTAAATTGGCCAATAAATGTATTAAGATAGTGTTAAGTGTCAAAAATATCCTCTCAAAAATGAAATTGTTATTTTACATTTTATTTCTGTTAGCAGTTTATACATATAATTATGAAATAAGCAAAATGAAAAAAATGGAATACTGAAATGGAAATTCCTAAACTTTGTAAATGTCAAAAATACAAAATGTCCACCAAACACAACCAAATTTTATTATATCTCCTCATTTTTTTCATTTATCTTATAAATAAAAGAGAGAGATTTTGTTTGTGGCAATTTTATGTGTGAGGCCTTTACAGACATGTTTCTGTTTGAACATTCATTGTTGTTGAATTTTTTTCTTCTTTTTTTCTCAAGTTTTCTTTGGGAAATTTATTTTTATTTTTTATTTATATACAGATATAACCGCAAATCTGTTTCATTGTATTTTATAAATTTGCAAAAGTTCACAAATTTCTTTCAATCATGAAAGTTTATTTCAGAAAATGAATCTGTGACATAACACTAAAAAAATTAGAAGTAAGTAATTATAGACTAACACTGCCTATAGACTAATTCATCACCAAAAATACAACATACATAATTTCATATTCAGTTATTTCCATTTTGGTAGTAGTAAATTAATAAAACAATTTAATTATTAAGAACATGTGATCATAATTATGATATGAACTAGCTAAAACTGACTAAGTGATGTTACCATTTAATTAGTACCCTTCACCCAAATACAAGTAATTTATTTAATCACATTTGATGTAAAACCTAATAATGTGCAAATATTTTGAAAGTATTAAAAAAAATATTATTTTCCCACCACTTTCAATGTTTCTTTGAGATAGAATTATTACATTTAACACCTTACATCGCTGAGAATATTTATTAAATCACAAACGTTTTCAGCCTAATGGAATAGGCCATCATCAGGTGACAGGCTATCGAACAAATTTGAAAATTGTGTTAAAATGGAACTTTTGAACATTATAAATTCAAAATTAAAACGTAAAATAAATTAGCCAACCAATATACAAAATAACTATAATAAATACATTGAGGCCATATTAATATAAATAATAAAATAAGACAATATAAAAAGCAAAAACAAAAATAAACCTAAAAGATTAAATTCATAAAAATATGTATCAAAAAGCATCACATTATAAAGGCAGATAGGAACTAAGAATTTGTGTGTTTTAACTTTTCTTTTACAAAGAACTTCCATGCCAAAACTAAACCATCAGCATCCCTTGCATTGATACAGCCGTCCCTTAATTTACTCTTATAAATTTCAATGCAAGGTATGCTGATGGTTTAGCTTCGGTATGGAAGTTCTTTGTAAAAGAAAAGTTAAAACACACAAATTCTTAGTTCCTATCTGCCTTTATAATGTGATGCTTTTTGATACATATTTTTATGAATTTAATCTTTTAGGTTTATTTTTGTTTTTGCTTTTTATATTGTCTTATTTTATTATTTATATTAATATGGCCTCAATGTATTTATTATAGTTATTTTGTATATTGGTTGGCTAATTTATTTTACGTTTTAATTTTGAATTTATAATGTTCAAAAGTTCCATTTTAACACAATTTTCAAATTTGTTCGATAGCCTGTCACCTGATGATGGCCTATTCCATTAGGCTGAAAACGTTTGTGATTTAATAAATATTCTCAGCGATGTAAGGTGTTAAATGTTTTATTTAGTGTTTTAAAAGGAAGCTGAGTTTGATATTCAATTTATTAGAATTATTACCTCTTAAAATATATAACTTTAAACTGTTTTGTTACTGACTTCTCTACTAAGAATTACTTTCTTCAATATTTGAGAATTATTATTTAACCCTTGCAAATATTTTTGTAAAATACAATGGAACTAAACTATATAAAGATATATAAATAAAAAATAATTGATTTCATTAGGAAAGGATGAAAGGAAAAGCAACAAAATCTGTTGAGACAGTATTGGAAGCAAGTGTTCAATGTGTATAGTCACAAACTAACAAAACTTCTGTGTTTTTTTTAAATCTGTTTCATATTTTTTAAGATAATCCACACACTGCCAGGGCATTGACTAGTCAAGTAACAATTATAAATTCTAAAATAAATTCAGAAAAAATTAAATAGAAAATAATTTTAATGTCAATAAGTTAATACTCAATGATAAAGGTTTGCCTGAATACGCTGGGTACTCTTGTGAAAAAATAGACAAATCCTGCATGTTTTCATTTCCACAATAAAAGTATTTGTCTATGTTACTGGCTTTGTAAAGTTACTTTTTAATCATCCTCAGAAAATAAGGATGCTATTTGTTCAGTTCAGACTTAATCATATATAGGACTAATGAAATATTTTAAAATACCTGTGAAAATTTATCTGGATCATCTACATAGGCAAGAAGAAGAGATAGATTTCGTGTTGCTGTTTCTCTCACTATTTCTTCTTTATCTTCTCGAAGCATTTGTTGCAACATAGATAATACTAATGAACTACGAATCTCTCTCTAAAATTGATAAAATATGAACTCTGAAGAAACTACAAAGAATTCACTAAATTTTTACTAAATTAAAACTTAATTAAAATGTGTTTTTTTAATAAATCAAAAATAATACATACAGGTATGTAGGGAGCTAATACGCCACAAGATTCTGCAACTAGTAAGCGCCTTTCAGTATAGCGATGAGTAATCTAAAAATAAAATTTAATTGCTTTTTGAAAATATAAAAAATTATAAGAACATTATCAGTAATACTTTTTTAAGTTAAAAAAACCACATAAAAATATGGTTTCAATTTGTGGAAAAAAAATATTTAGATCTTCCACTATTCACTTTAAAAAAAAAATTATTTTTGAGTGTATAAAATTTTATATTAGAAAATATTATAAAAGTTATATATTAGATTTCATCTTATATGTTAATTTTAATTGTTGTAATTCAATAAAATATTCAATGAATCTGATAAGCAGTTGTTTGCTTCTTTTGACTTAATATTATACATCATGAACAAAAGTATCAAGTTACAAAACCATATTATAAAAGTAAATTTATAAATATAATTTATTAATGATTTCTATCAGAAATATTCTTATATTTATATTCTTCAAATATATAATGAAAATATATTATAAAAATTGCCTAAAAATGGGTAAATCTATGGTATTTGCAAAAAACGATTGGAAAAAAAATATCTGATACACAAAGGACAAACTATAGGGTTGGCAACTAAGTGATTGCAGATTTTGTCAATAGGTGGCCTTAGCACATTTTTTTGCTTTGTCATCATGTTCAAAGCATTTAACCTATATTGTTTTCTTGTTGTTTGGACTTCCACCTTTAATTTAGTAAAAAAATTGTATCGATTAGTTATTTAGTTTCGTTTTTATCCCAATTTAAAAATGGAAGAACAAGACATGCATTTCAGACATATTTTATTGTATTATTTCCTAAAAGGCAAGAACGCATCACAAGCACACAAGAAGTTATGTGCTGTATAAGAGAATGAAGCCTTGAAACAAAGGCAGTGTCAAAATTGGTTTGCCAAATTTCATTCTGGCGATTTTTCACCGAAAAATACTCGACGATCTGGCCGTCCAGTTGAAGTTGATGAGACCCATATCAAGGCCATTATCAATTCAGATCGCCATAGCACAATGTGTGAGATTGCACAGAAGCTCAATGTGTCACATACATGCATTCAAAAAAAATAAAAACAGCTTGGTTATGTCAAGAAACTGGATTTATGGGTCCTTCATCAGCTTAAGGAAATTCATTTGACGCAATGCATTAGCATCTGTGATTCACTTATGAAGCGCAATGAGATTGATCCATTTCTGAAACGACTGATTACTGCCAACGAAAAGTAGATAGTTTATAGCAACGTTAATCAGAAAAGATCATGGGTGATGCGAGATGAACCAGCCCAGATGACATCAAAAGCTGAGATTCACCAAAAAAAGATTATGCTGTCAGTTTGGTGGGATTATAAAGGAATTCTGTACTTTGAACTTTTACCAAGAAACCAAACAATTAATTCAAATATGTACGTTCAACAACTCGCCAAACTAAGCGATGCAGTTCAAGAAAAGCAGCCAGAATTGGCAAATCGTAAGGGTGTTGTTTTCCAGCATGATAATGCAAAGCCCCACACATCTTTGGTCACTCGCCAAAAATTATTGGAGCTAGGTTCGGATGTGTTGTCACATCCACCATATAGCCCTGACCTTGCGCCTTCAGATTATCATTTATTTCATTCCATTCAGAACTCATTAAATGGTAAAATTTTTAATGATGCTGATGATGTAAAAACACATTTAATTCAGTTTTTTGTTGGCAAAAATCAGAAGTTTTATGAACATGGAATTATGACACTGCCTGAAAGATGGCAAGAGGTCATTGATAAAAATGGACAATACCTTATTTAAAATCCACAATCACTTAGTTGCCAACCCTATAAATACATGAGCATATTTAATTAATTTATTGTTAACATATCTCATTATGTGGCATTGATATAACAATGGAAAACTAAAAATTACTTCATTTTGATTATATTATACATTATTAATTTCAACGAAAAAAGATAAGTAGAGTAAAATTTAAATGATGTGAAAGTAATATATTTTTATTAAAATAATAATTTTACTTGTTCCCAACACTGTGGTAATAACTCCGCTTCAACTCTGGACGGTCCAAGATGTTGAGCAATGGCTACAAAACCAGTTAAAATCATTTGCCTGAAATAAATTTTTGTTATATAAAATAGCATAGAAATATTATATATATATATATTTTTTTTTTATTTAAAACTTTCACAAGCAATTCTTATAAATTTAATTAAAAATTCATTACCTCTGTTCTTCATCTGGTCTTTTAATCAAGTTAAATAAGATATTTAATAATTTATCTCTCTGTTTTGCTTCAGGATGTAAACTGATAGTACACAATAATAAAGGAATAAGCTCCTACAAAAGAAAAGCAAAATATTAAAAAATAACTATAAATTATACACAATTAATTGTATATTAATTTTTACAAATTTACATTTATTGTTAAATAATAGAATAATAATTCATTAATGTGTTAAATTTATGAATATTCAAATGCAATTCTTGAATAATATACAATAATTTGGCATAACTGTTATCATTATTATTACAGATACAAATTTTAATTACATTCTATTTCCAAAAAATCAATCAGCTGTAATCTTGGCCTTAATGGTGTAAAGTTTTCATACTTTAGTAGTTACAATTTTATCACAAAATATTTATAATATATGCATATTGTAATAATTTAAGTATTTTATTAATTAAGGGAAAAATATATATATATATTGACGAAATCATCTCTTAATTAACTTTAATAACATATTAATGTAATGAATTTCCTATAAGAATCATTCATTGTAACAATTTTTCAGTTTTGAAATTAATAACTGATTTTGATATTTACAATAATGTGAAGAAATTGCTATCAAGTTGGCACTTCCAATCGAAATTGCTACAACTTATTAATAATGAATATATATATAAATTTTAAATAAAACTAATATATAAAGAAAGTATCTATTCAAAAGTTAGAATTTTAAAAAATATAATTACTTACTTCTCTTTTAGCTAATAATACATTTGGAACAATATGAGGGAGACAACGAGCTAACATTAAAACTACATTATCACTGGAATCTATAATTTCTGCTACTTCACTTGCTAAACGATTATCATGACCAAATTTATGTAAAGAGCCATAGTTCTGGAGTGCTTTTTGAAAGGCACTAGACAATTTTCTGGAAAATGAAATACTAATTTTATATACTGTACATACTTTAATTTTCAATTAGAATTTTGAAAATAACATTTACCTGTCAGATGATGCAATGGCAACAGTATGTATGATATGATTTAACTGTTCAGAAGAATCATTTAAATGTTCAATACTGCTTAGGTCATTTAATTTATCTTCTATTTCTGTATGAACAGCTACTTCTAAGGACGGAGAATCTTGTAAATTGTTTTCTTTCATATTTTCGTCTAATGTTATAGGACTTTCAATTCTAGAATCCAATTCTAAAGGTTCCATCTTGATATTTTCAAATGCTAAATTAGAATTTTTTTGTGAAACTGGACCATTTAATTTTTTTGATGTTATTAGTGGTGTTGAAGATGTTACATTCTTGTTATATTCTGATTCTCTATTTAAATAGAAATTAATTAATTAAAAAACAAACATATATTACAATTTATGCATTATATTTTGTATATAAATATACTTTTTTGGATAATATAAAATATAAAACATACATAACATTTTTAAAATGTCAAGTTCAAAAATGTTATAAATTTCATTTTTAAAAAAAAATAATAAAACCTTCATAAAAATAGTTTTACATAATCATAAAATTTTAATATTAATAAAAAATGAGTTTAATTGTTCTTTTGTAAATTAAAGTCTATACAGTAGAGCATCGATTATCCAAAACAATTTGGGACTTGGGTTGTTCGGATAACCGATCATTTACGAAAAAATATATTAAAAAACTGTACTGTACATATTTTATATCACACGTCTTATAAATACATATCTTACATAAAGTAGTACATTAAAGTAGGCCTACAGTTTAGGTTGGCAGGGAGGGGGAGAATGCTGCAGCACCAAAGCACTAGCGAAAATTTGAATTTGCCAACTTGAATGCTTTCAGTTAACAGCTGTTTTGGTTGACCGGTATTCGGATAATCGATGCTTTACTGTATTACCAATATCTTAGTTTAATCCAAAATAGAATATAGCAAAAAATATATATTGATAGTCTAGAGCAGCAGTATCCAAAACTACAGCCCAAAGGCCAAATCTAGCTCATAGCACATTAATCTGACCTGAAAACATATTTGACAGTGATGTCAATTTTATATATTCTATATATACAAAAGTAGATCTACTTCCATCATTTATAAGTGATTATAAATGATGGAAGTAGATCTACTTTTGTATATATAGAATATATAAAATATTGTGGCTCACCTATTTATAACTTATGTGCAATTTGGCCTTCAATTAAAATGTTTGATCATCACTGTTCTAGAGTGAAGAACTCAAATTTGCAACATTTCAGAGATAAAAAATAAAAAAGTTTGGGTTTGAACAAAGCATTTAAAGATTTAAAAACACTGGCCCTAATAATATTTTAGTGTTAAAGCATTATATTTTTGTATTTTAAGAAGTAAACTTGACACACAGGCCAGAAAGTGACATTTTGACTTAAGAGATTTTTTTAGTCTATGTATCTGCAACCAAACCTGTGGTCATTAACTCCAAATGACAATTCTTGATTGTTTCTGGACAGATTGTGGCATGATGTCCCTTCACCATATGCCACCATATCTGCAGAGCAACCACTGATTTCCACACTTCATAGTGTGTAGCAATCTGAAGAGACAAGCAGTTGCCCATCATTTTGCCACTGTATATCAGCCTCTCTTAGTCACTGCCCATACCATTGATACAAGAATGATAAAATTCCACTGACTACATGTAAATGTATACATCAATTTTATTATGCTTGATAATAATAATTGTAATAATAATGCAATTTTATTATGATTGCATTATTATTACAATAATTATAGAAATTTCACAATGCATAGTTATTTTCCACCTACTCTGTACATTACCTCCTATTTCTAAACTGGTAAATTCTGGTTCAAAAAAGTATAGTTAAAATGAGTCTTAAAATAAATGTAAAAGTAAATAAAATAACAATCTTATGATTTACTTTTCAATATATAATAAAAAGACCAATAATTATAGTCATAAAATAACCTTTTTATTACCTCTAAAAGATCTGATTTGATTATTTTGAAAATGCGTTTGTTAAATAAAAACTTATGTTTATATTTTTTTTTTTACTTTACTTATTTTTTACTTTAATTATCAAGTGTACAATTTAAAATTAAATTTCTACTACTACTATACTGTATATTATATAGTATAATAAAAAATATAATATAATTACATAATTTTAAGTTGACAGAAAAGTTTTAATCTAGTTTTTCAAGCATCAAAATTATTAGTTATGGGGTGCATTGTAGTCAGCCAAGTGTGTTGGTGAACTTTGTTAGTGACTTTTTGAAAGTTAAAAATTATGGAAAACATTGCTTTTTTTTGTAGTTGTATCATTATTTCTGTTGTCTCAGTGGAATAAAGGAAAATCCTGTTCTTTTATACCATACTCATCCTGATTTACCAGTTCAGTTTCCTAATGTTAAGAGTGAGAGACATTGTTCTCCTAGTGAACCTATGCTGAAAATTGTGAAATTGGATGATTTTTTTCCTGCTAAATCTGAATCAAGTAAGTTGATTCCTAATGAAATATTTTCATATTTAGATGAAAGGTTTGATACAGTCCTTAATGCTTTAACCTGTCCTATGTTGTTCCCAAAAATATTCGTGTTGACCTCATTGACCTGTGTGGGCGATCCCAAATATTTTCGTGTTTACATCGGAACGTTTTTGATACTAGATGTCGCTATGCGTCACAATTTTTCTATTAAAATGAACTTCTGAAATATAATTTTTTTTGTTTCTATATTATTCAATATATTTATTTTGTTTGTTCAACATAAAAAAAATAATTTTTAAAGATACAGTAAAAACGATTATTATTAAAAAAAAAAAAAAAAATTTAGGCTTAACATTGACGAAAATTCAACGTGGCATCACAGGCAACAAACAAAAATTTTAACATCGAATAGGTTAAGCAAGGTATCTACCAGAATTGACTGACTTGTTAATTTACATAAGAAATGCAATGACAAGTTAACTAAGATTGAAACTAAACTGGAGGAAATTTTTAAATTTAAACAGGAATCTCAAAGCAAAGATAGTTTGCTTTTGCATAGTGTTGATGCACTAGTGAATGAGTTGCAGAGGAAAAATATAATAATTCAGGGTCTGATGGAGACTGGTGATGATATGAGTACTAAAGTACAAGAGCTGTTTATGGTAATAGTAGAAGAACCTAGGACTATTCCATCTTCAAGGATAATAGAGCTTTATAAATCAAATAATATTTTATCATCATCCTTATCAGATAAAAAGTTAATCTTAAAAATCATGAAAAATTTACAAAAATGAAAATCTTCAATGACTTGTGTTGGAGATCTATACTAAGACGCAAAAAACTATTACCTTTCTATCATCAATATAAATCTGAAAAGAAGATTCAATTAATAATAGACATTTTGACAGTTGATTCTGAAAAGTTTACAATAGATCTAGAGAGGGAAAGCTTGTGACTTAATTTTTTGTTTCCAACTTTGAACATAGAACCTCAAAGTCCCACTTAGAATTTAATCAAAACTTTCACAAGCTGAAGGTAAAAATTGTGGCATGGAATTGCCAAGAAACTTTTTGTTTAATTTAAATAATAGAGAATTTGTTGATTATTTTCTGCAGTTTTCAATTTTGTGCCTGATGGAGAAATGGTTTACTTTTTCAGTTAAATCAAAAATAAATAAGATTTACCCAACAATGAGTGTATTTGAAAAGCTGGCAACAAAGGCTTCGGGTCGAGGAAGGCCATCAGGAAATCTTCTTTGTATAAGTGAGAATTTAGGAGATGCAATTCTGCTGAAGATAATGCAATATTTTATTGTTACAAGACTGATTTTTGATCAAAAGAAATTCACCAATTCTCAAAATCTAATTATTATTTCATATTATCTGTATATACCTGTTTTTAATAACATATTGGCTGATGTGGAAGATTTGATTTCTAGTTATTCTGTTGATCATGGTCTTCTATTATTAGGTGATTCAAATGCCAGAATTGGCATTAAAATAGACAATATTTTTCATGAGAATATTATTTCAAATACATGATTATTAAAAGATTTGGTTATCAGTAAGTCAGGTGACCAGTTTATTGAATTGGTTAAAGACTATAATTTATATATAATAAATGGTCGTCGCCCTCATGACTCCCCAGCTAATTTTACATACATATCCAAATTGGGAGCATCAGTGATAGACTTATCAGTATTGAGTGAGGGTCTAATTGAGCATCTTGAGGATTTTTACATTTCTGAGCACTACATGTTGGATCATCTTTTGGTAGTACTAGAATAGTATCACTCTTCCTTGATAACACAAGGAAAAGTAATACTAATCAAAGAGAACAACAGGAAATGTTGACTTGGAAAGAAGAAAAAGTAAACTTGTTTACTCAAGCAGTTAACAACTTGTATACAACTGTAAAGCCTATTAACAATATAGAATTAACTTAATTATTACTTTAATTTGGAAATCTGCTAGGCAATATGGATTAGTGACAAAATTTGTAGTAAGAGGTAGAGTTGGTTTTGCATGGTTTGATAGAGACTGTAAAATCGCAAAAAAAGAGAAAGAGCATTGCGATGAGTTTCACAGATTTCACTTGAATAAAAATTTGGTTAAATATATTATTTATAAAGTTAGTTTTCATTCACTATGTAGAACCAAGAATAATAAATATTGGACTAATATAAGTAAACAATTGCAAACTACAAGATCGTCAAAAATCTTTTGGAAAATTATAAATAATGTGTATGTCAAGCAGCCTGCAGAGAGTCAGATTTCTACTAACAAATGGATAAGTTTTTGAAATTTAATTTTAATAACAGCAGTCTCGGTGTCTTGCCGACTATGAATTATGATAATTCTTCTTCTCTTTCGGATGATCCTTTCTCATTTGACGAACTAAAAATGGCAATTCAAAGATTGAAAAGGGGTTCATCTGGTACAGATGGAGTGAGAAATGAATTTATTCAATCATTGCCAAGAATGGTCTGCTTAGAAATTCTTAGTTTGTTTAGTAAAATCAAAGAGGCAGTAGCTTTTCCAGAGATATGAAAGAAAGTTTTATTAAAATGATTTACAAGAAGAGTGAAAGATCTAATTACATGTAATTATCATCCAATAGCATTGTTGAATCCATTTAGAAAAATGTTTACTAGTTTATTATCAAATCGATTAATAAAATGTTTACATGAGCATAATGCTATCTCAATATTTCAAGATGCCTTTGTTCAGGGCAGGAGGAAAATTTACAATACCTTCATTCTTAATGGTTTAATTCAATATGTGTTATCAAGGAAAAGGAGGAAAATTTATTCACTTTTTATTGACTTAAAAAAGGCATTTGATAATGTTAACCTCAATGAATTGTGGAGAAAACTTTATAATGGGGACTCTCCAGATCCTTCATTATTTTGCTTAGGAATTTGTTTACTACTATTAGTTATCAGAAAAAAGATACAGTTAATTCTACTTGCATAATATCTACTTGAGGTTTACCCCCAGGGAGAACCACTAAGCCCTTTGTTGTTTAATTTATTTATAAATGATCTTACAGAGATATTTCATCATTCTGATCTTTTGGGTTTTTAACTAAATGTCACATCACAGATGAGTTGCATTGTTTTCTATATTCAGATGATGCATATAGAAGACTTGAAATCATCATTACAGAAGAAACTGATTTTATTATCTGACTATATGTTGAGAAATGATCTATCTATTAATTTTCAGAAAACAAAGGGATTGGTGTTTTGTAATGGAGGACGACTTCATAAAACTGATAACATTTTCATTAACAATGTGGAAATAGATTTTTTTTCTCATTTTAAATGTTTAGAATTGAATTTTTCTTCCTCTAGAGTTTTTAATTATCATTTAGATAAAATAGAGAAAGATATACTACTGAAGACAAGTTTTCTTCTGGCACTACAGACAAAAATGAGGATGAACTCAATTAAAGCAATGTTTAAACTTTTTGACACTATGTTAAAGTCTAAACTGACATATTTGATTCCAGTTTGGGGTTTAAATCTTATTGAAAAAATTGAGAAGGTTCAATTAAGATATTTCAAAAGATTATTTAAGCTCAAGCATTCAGTGCCTGGTGCTGTTGTAAGATTGGAATTATGTAGACATCCACTTCAAATTAATATTTTAAAAAATATTTTGTTGTTTTGGTCTAAGATTGTTGATCTTTCTCATTATGATCTTTTTTATTGTGTTTATGATTCTTTACTGAAGAAAGGAAATTCAAGCAAGAAAAATTGGGTGTTATCAATTAAAAACAATTTTGATAATTTAAGTCATTCTTTTATATTTTGGAATCATTCACAATATTTTGGAATCATTCACATTACAGTTGAGAACTTATTCATGTGATATAATACAAACTAGATGTGATCAATTATGGAATCAAGACATAACTTATGCTTCACTTCAGTGACATAATATTTATGAAAAAAAGTACAGGTTGGCAGATTGCCAATTACTTAAATTATATTATTAGATTTCCTATGAAAAGTTTGTTAATGCAATTACATCTTAATAAATGCCAAATTATGCTGGGTGGTCGGTATATAGATATTTCTAAGGGGCATTCTTGCCCATATTGTATTACCAATAATAATTGTATATTAATGCATATTTTTCTCTAACATATTATAAATATGTTAGAGAAAAATATGATAAAATCATCAGTGCAATTCATAAAAATTCATAGAGAAAAATTCATAAAATCATCAGTGCAATTTCTCTAACATATATAAAATATGTTAGAGAAATTCTCACTGATGATTTTTTAAAAAATTATTTATATGATAAAAATATGTCAAACATAATGTTACATAGATTGTATAATGTTTTTCTTAAATCCTTATACTACTTTGTTTTATTTTTCCCCTTGTATGGAAGTACTTGTACTTATATTTATTTATTTGTTATTGATACAAGTTAAATTTTAAGCATATGCTTATTTGGTTACAGCAATGTGACATGTGGGCAATCTGCCAATGGGATGCCTCCCAGGAGAAGTTTTATGAGAAAGTGGCCCCTATTTAGATGTTTTAAACATAAAAAAACCGAGAAAACTCCATGTGGCCAGCCTGTTGGTGAGGTGCAAATATACAACCAACTACTAGTATTCAGTAATTTTATTCACTCAGCCACTAGTGGGCTATTTTAAGAGTATCTGCTCATCTTTAACAAATAAATGATAATTTTATATTAAAGATAGCTATTTCAACTGCAATATCTTGTTTTCTGAAAAGTTTTAGAATGAAAATGGTAAGTGATGTTTTAAATTTCATTATAATTCTCAGGATTTAATTAAAAATACTGAACAATGCATTCTCTTAAACATTTTTTAATTCATAACTGACCCTAGATGACATTTTCTATGTTTAATTTAAACTAAGTGCATATTTATATTATACATTGGAAACAAATCAATTTTCAGACTTTTAGTCATATGTATTATCTATCATATTAGAAATGCAAAGTTAACTATCTCTGTTAACTTTGCATTTCTAAATCAATATTGCATATTGATTTAGAAATGCAAAGTTAACAGAGATAGTTTCTTATATTGCACAAAGTTCAATCTTCAAATGACTTTTTGAAGATCAAAAATAAAAAAACTGCTTTAAGAAAACAAAATAAAAGTTCATAAAAAATACAAATTGTTAAAAATAACTTTAATAATAATATTTCACAAAAATACTCACATAATTTTTTCTAATTCTGACATTTAAATATTGAAAAGAAAATGAGAGAAAATATGTTAAACCAATTTGACAAATGTTTTAATTTTACTTACTTTTCCAATTTCCAAATTTGATTTTGTAAACTATCATTTTCTTGAACTAGTGACTGAATCATTTCTCTTAAATTATTTATTTCAATTTCCTGAAAAAAAAATTTATGTAACAATTTTTATATTTTGTGTAAGGGCATTAACTAAAATGTTTCAAAAAATAATTTTTAATGAAAACAATTTTTTCAGTTGGTAGATTTAAAATATTTACAGAAATTTTAATGCATTCCTAAACAACATTGCAGACTTTTATTATTAAGATGACAAATGAAAGTCTGTCAGTATTCAATTTCAAATCAACAGCCATATCAATAATTGAATAAAAATAGCAGATGATGAAGCAGCAGTTTCATCTTTTCAGGACGAAAAGACTATTTATCAATGATAATATTAATTATAATGATAAATATTGTAATGAAATTGTGCTAGTTGGCATAAATGTGTTACAAAATGTCTTTCGGTATGTGTAGTAACTTATTTTTACGGTGACTTTATTAAAATAAATATCTCTTTTTTGTCGATGACATTTAATGCTTAAACTGTATTAGATTAAACTACAGTTACCATTATTTTGAAACACTATATTTGCATCTCATATTCCATCAATATATTCCTTCAATTTTTTCCAAAGTATAATCCATGAACTTACTTTTACCAGCCAGCAGAAAACTTAAAACACAAAAAAGCAACACATTTCAATCAAAAAGTTAATTTAATGTTTATTAAATTTACTTTCTTTAAATAGTAATATTACTATTTAATATTATGTAATGATCAACATAGTACATGGTATAATTCTAGTTCTTATGGAAATTGATGTGCTTGAATTTATATATTTGAGCTGGGCTGAAAAAAAAATGATTGAAAAATATTAGATTTTAACTAGAAAAGTTTGTGATAGGTTAGTCTAAATAAAATATTTTTTTTGACACTAAACTTTCTTTTTATGCAAGAATTATACACAACATAAGCAACATATCCTAACTAAAATATTCTTTTTCAGTGATATAAATCTAGGTTAATAAATTTTAAATTTTAATTATTACATATTCTGGTCAATGCAACATTCATCTGTTAAGTTACTAAAACCAAATCCATAACATTTATTAGATGTTATCATATTTTAAAATAAACATTAAAAAAATTATATATTTTAAATAAAGTTCTCTTTGAAATTTTTTTGTATGTACTTACTTTAATTAGTTTTTTTTATCACTAAGTAATTATATACAGAAATGACTAAATTATTTTTAACAATATTTTGTTTTGAAATTTTCTTAGTAGCAGAAGTAATTAGGAACTACTACTATCAATTTGACTAAACATTATCTTATTGAAGCAGTTAAGTCATTAATGCATCATTTAACTGCTTTTATGAATATATGTTTTTGTTTATGCTCTATAAATTTTATACGTGAAATCACATATAATTTTCAATATCTTTCATAAAACCATGTATCAGAGTTACTGAAAAAGTATAACCAAACCTAGTAAATTTATAATATTAAGTATTATTATTATTACCAATGGATTTTGGACATCTTGATTTTGTGATGAAATATGAATATCTGTCTGACATTCTGCATCTCTGAATTGTCTCCATAACTGCAAATGGCGATAATAATTGCGATATATATATAAAATTTCAGGTGGTTTTGGAATATTAAGACCAACATCATCCCAGTCTTCAAAATCCTACAGGAATATATTTAAAATGATAGTGAATTAACACAACTAAACCTTCTTACTAAAATGATTTTTTATTTACCTGATCTTCAATTTCATCGGAAAAGGTAATTGATGTTAATTTATAGTTATGCTTCAATAAATATTCATAAACTAGAAAATTCAAGGCACGTATTTCATGTGGTTTCACAGCTTCCTGAACAGAAAGTGGATCAATTGGTACTTCTGGTGTGCTAGAATTGGATTCTAAAATAAATATAAAATAACTGAACTTAAATTTAATATAGAAAAATTTTTGCTACAATATATATCAGTTGCATTATAACAAATATATAATTATCCAAATATAAAAATGTTTTTGTTAATAACACAAATCCAAAATTGTATTATGTAACTATAAAGTTGTATTTCCTTACAATTTGCAGACCTACAAAATGTAAAACAAATGTTCAATGAGGTTAAATATAAACATTTAATTCTCGTTCATTCTTTTTCAAATGTAAAAACAAATTACATATTGGCCTGAAAATTAGTTGATTTTTTTTTAGCTGGGAAAAAAACATCAACATTTTGGGCCATAACTTATATTGAAGTCCAATTAAAGTTTTTTTTTTTGATTTTGATAACTGTTTGTAGTACACACTGTACAGAGTTAAACAGACCAAAAATATGAACAGGAATTAAGTGTTTGATATGACTGTAAATAATCATTTAGTCAATTGTTCAAAGACAAATCAACTAAACTAAGCCAACTGTTTATCATATTTAACAGAAACAGTCAGTTTAATAACTTCGACAGGAATTTTATTTTGGTAATCTTACTTCTAGAAGTCGCTACCAATCAATCAATCATCAAAAACTAGGGAAAGTTGATGAAATTTAATACAAAATTTATTCTGTTGTAAGGTATAAATTTCTATTGTAATTATAAATTTGATATATTGTTTTAAACTTTATAAAAAAAAATGAGAGAAATGAAACCAAAACACAAAGTTTCAGTTTCATTACAGTAATCATAAAACTGCAAGTACACTTTCTGGAAAACATGAAATATGCAAGGAAGTCAACTTATCCTGATGTGATGTATATGCAAACAACCTACTATACATTGTCTCATTTTGCTTCATAATTTTTATTAATTTTATTTTTTATTGATATAGCCAAAAAAGCAATAAATTACATTTTGTCACTTCTACTAGGTGTTCAATGTACGTATTTCCTTCCATAAAATAAACCCTAGAAATATAATTTTCTAATCAATTTTCCCAATTGATTTAAATATGATTTGTGTGTGATTTGTAAAACACACACACATCCATACATACAGAAAAAACCCCTGAAGTTTTTGCATTTCTTGACATTTCAAGGTCCCGAGTACAAAATGTAAAAATCTTGGAAAATCATTTTTTGGCTGATCACCATACTTACACCACTGGGACCACCCATAAATCGGCCTTCAGGCTTGGATCGCACTGCATTGTCCCGCAGGCGGAGATCCTGGCAATCACTAAAGCAATAGTGCATGTTTACGAAGATTGGTTTCCTAGTACAAAGACTATAGGCTTCTATACAGATAGAGTGCAGAGTCGTTGCACTATCTACAGCCCTCATAACAAGGGTGCAAACATCCTTCACATTCACCACTATTAACTATCAACAGCCACGTGATCTTTTTCAGCTGGGTCCGTGGACACTCTGGTCTTTTGGGTAATGAGGCAGTTAACCAGATGGCCAAGCAGGCCACTGCCTCCAAACCTGAGTTGCAGCAAGATTCCCATCTCAAAAATAAAGCAGTGGACTCTAGAGCTAGCTCTCAAACAATGGCATAAAGAGTGGGATACTGGCACAATGGGAAGAAAAATGCACACCTTCATTCCGAACATCAGTAGCAGACTTAAATGGAAACATTTTGTCCCGAACTTCTTCACGACTCAGTTAATTACTAGTCATGGTAATTTTAACTCATACCTGAAGAGGTTCCATCTGAGGAGCACAGACATGTGCCCCTGCGATAAAGTCTCAATGCAGGATAACCAACACTACTACTTGTGGGACTGTAAACTCTTCACAGAGGAGAGAACAAAACTAATGAGTCATGTTCTGCTCGCAGGGAACAATTAGCCATGCCCCAAGAGCAGACTTCTTAAAGATGAAAACATCTATCGACATCTGAACAAGTTTCTAACAACAGCGCTCAACTCATCACACAACCAGCCAGCCACCAATGTACTAATTGCTTAGATCCACTACTACAATCACAAGAACTTCTCTTTCTGTGTTTTCTGTGCCTAGAAATAGATGCATTTGTTGATACTCTGTTTCCCCACCATGTTTCTGGCCTATACTGTCATTGTTGGGGGTACACAAAATGTACAAAGTCATAGTTGTAACATCTGTCTGTTCTAACTGTACAAATGTGTTATTGTGTTTGCTATATTGAATTCATCTTGATGTATTGATTTGTTAGGTTTTCCATACTTCTATAATCAATTGCACAGAATATGTGTAATTGTCCTGGTTTGTCACCTATATTCAGATTTATATAATTATATTCCTATTTATTCTCTGCCATGTTCATACATTATTGCTCACCGTGCATCAACCGCTGCCTGTTATTATTGTACATTTTCATTGCGTTTACTTTCTGTAACCTGTCCTGTGCGTTTACTGGAATGCAACCCAACTTGCATAATGTCTTAAATTTCTTATAACAGCAGTATTTTGTAAATATTGTTTCAGTTTCTCACTCAATAGTACTATTGGCTTATTCTGTTGCCTTATATCTAGGCATCTTTATCTCTCATCCTGTTGTTAAATCCACTGTTACACACACTTATAACTGTACAGGATATTTAATTGCTTGTCTTGTAATTATACTTCTTGATTGTACTGTCTTCATTTGCATTATCGTCCTATCAATGTAAATATCCCACATCTTCATTTTGGTACACAAATTGTTAACCTGTTTTTCTTGTAACAGCAACTGTTTGTCAGCTATATTCCTACCTTCTGTAACAACTGCATAATCGATAAGCAATTGGCTTGTTTAGCTGTCATACCAGGCACACCCTACTGTCATACCGTAATTTCTATTTTGTATCTTGTACCTTGTATTTATAAACTTATTACATTGTCAATAAATGCATTGCAGGGGCCATGGGCTCAAAACCTTAACCCCCCACACTGATCCACTTTCACCTTCACCTTACTTCTTATTTCATTATCTTTCTCCCCCCAACTTCCAGGTTGTACCTTTGAGTGATACCTGGAGTTCCCCTTTCTTTCTAAAAATACCTGTTTAAAATACTTTCCCTCTATAATATATAACAGAACTGGGGAAGTAACAAAGTTTATTTCTAACTAAATCTAATTTTGAAAAGAAAAAGAAAATGTAATTAAACAGTATTCATTTACATAATCAATTGCATAGATAAAAAGTAACAAAAATTCCATATATTATTGTAAAAGTTAGAACAATAGTAGAATTATGAACGATTGTTGTGAAGACAATTATAAAAGGCTTTAAGAAATATTGTGTTACCAACAACTTGAACAGAAAGGAGGATTATGTACTATTCAAGGGAGGTTGAAGACCATGATGTCAAGGAAAGTTCTGTCAAAAATGAAAGTGATAAAGTATTGTTTCAATGTCTTTCCAAATTTTCTAAATGCAAATTGCTAATTTTCTGTATGCAAATAAAATTAATAATAAAAGACTGACTCATGTCCTTTTTTTCCAAAAAAGAAAGAGTTCCAAAATTGGGAGTTGACTTATATTCAGGCCAATAGAGTATATTGAATATTAAATTTATCTTAATTCTCTGATTTTGATAGTGATAAATCAAAACATACTAAAAATGGCAAGGCAAAAATAATTAAACGTTTTAAAACTGTTTTTGTTTGTTTTTTGTTAATTCTTGCTCATATTTTTGATTATTTAACATGATATTAAAGTCTATAAGTATGAATGTATGTATATCCATAAATATGCATTAAATTTTGTTTTTTTTATAGATTTGGAGCTGCTTGCAATCAGAGTTTTCATAAAGAATTAATTTTAAAGTTAATTTAAAATACAGTAAGTCCTCATTTAACACTGATTCGATATAACATGGTCTGCTTGAAGCCTTTAAAAAAAAACTCAAAATTTATGCTGATTCAAATTATCATGGCATTTGATTGATTCATATATAATACGATTATTCCCAAACATACATGAACCAATCAACAAAAAGTGGCAATTTGTCATAGTACTGTACTTTCCTTAAATCTATGTTTGTGTGGTGCAATTTTGGAAAAAAAAACATCGTAGATGGCATAGGTAATGTTGACTTCACTTGGCAAAAATTAACTGGCAAATGCATGAACAGTGTGGAAGAAGGTATGGCCGAAAGTATCCAAGAATTCTCAAGAGAAGAGCTTATTATTGACCAAATTGTCAACCTAGTCGATACAAAAGGACTAGGAGATGTAGACGAGCATGATATTGAGGAGTTATTGCAGGTTTCTAGTGAGAGCCTTACCAAGGACAACCTTCAAGAACTGGTAGAACAAGGAATTCATGTAGAACTGGAAAATAGTGATTCTGAAAATGAAGAACCCAAAGAATTTTTTTATGGATTTCCTTAGTAAAAGTTTGGTAACAATAACCAAAATTGTTGATCAAATTGTAGCAAATGATCCAGATTTTGAAAGGAGTGCAAAAGTAAGACAAGGAGTTTTGGATGCGATCTTCTGCTACCAACATTTTCTTTAGAAAAGAAAAAGAAAGCATCAAATGAAACTACACAACTTTATCACAAAAAACAGGAATTTCAGAAGAGCCAGGACCTTCATCACAAAAAATGAACTTTACATTTCTGTGTGCATATGTTTGTGTGTTATTTAACACATATTATTATGCAAATTAATATAAAAATAACTTAAAATTAAAGTAAAATCTGTTTATTTTTGGTCACATGTTCCCATTTCTCTATTTACTCTGTGTTAAAATGACCTTGTTCAAATTAACACTGTTTCATTTAGTGCTTTGTAGGAATGTATCCTCCACATTAAGCGAGGTCTTACTTTACTTGAACAAAGTTCCAGCTATAAGAAAATTTAAAATATTTCACCTGATATGAAATTCCAATATCCAATATTACATTTGCATTATATTTGGTATTGAAGAAGTCATTATTAAAAATCATATTCTAAACTTATAATTTGCATACAACCTAAAATACTACTATTTAAACAGAAATATATTCAGTATTTTACTTTTTTATACTTTATATCTGTGAAGCAGTTATCATTCTATTTATGATGTCATCAATTCAGTTAAATGCATATATCTGATATTAAATTTTTCAAAATTTTTATTACAAATAAATTTACAAAAATTTCTTAATCTAGGTGAATATACATAGATGTGAACATACAAAATACTGTTTATTTTAAGAAGCATATATAAACTTTTGATAAAAATAAAACAATTTATACTGTTAAGTTTCAGAGGTGAAAGTCTGTTTTCTGAAAATTTAGTAATGCTATAAGAGAACCATCAAAAATCAGGACTCATGTAAACAGTAGTTTAGTCTAGTTTAGTTTAATTAAAAATTCTCAAGAGAATTTTACTATAAATNTTTAAAAAACTCTAATATATTGTAGTTTACATATTTTATATATTTATTAAAATTGTTAAATTTTAATTATATTACTACTGATATGAAAATTCAAAACTAACTAACCTGCTACTCTCTCATCAATTTGTCTTTCTCCATCATCTGAATACCTTGCAAAATCTAATGAGTCTAGTGTTTGAATGCTGGATGTTCTTGCTGAAAATTTAAATATAATTTAACTTAAATGTTCAATGTTGACCAATACTTACATAAACATATTTCTTAAACATAAAGTCATTTTTATACATATATCATAATGATACAAATTTTATTGAACAACAGTTATAAAAGTTTAAAAAGGAAGTTACTTATAAAAATCATTTTATTTAATTAATTCAATAACTCAAATAAAATACCATAACTTTAATAAAACTATACTCACAAAACATTTTAAGTTCAATAACATATCTTTAAGTCACTATTACACAACTTAGATATTTTTTGAGTATTCATACAAGGGCATCTGCAGAAAAATCTTTCAGGGGTGAAAGCTTGGAGACAAATAATTATATCAATGAAGGTATATAAGAGCACTCGTTTTATAATGCAAGTCAATAGCCAGTTAAGTATTAAATCCTAGTGCAATGTTTATTATTGCATATCTATATTCTACAGTATATAATACAAGTAAAAACAATTGAGTATAACATTTTTTCACCAATATTTTTCTCTCACAGGATCAAGTTTCCAGAATTTCACTTAAAAATACTCATGTCATGGATTAAAATAAGTATTTAATCAATACTAATGTGAAAGCTATGTGGATATTCTAAAAACTTATGGCCAGGATATCAAAGTTTGACATAATGGAGAAAAAATAGTTGTGGAGTTAAAAGTAGAACAAAAGAGCACAACTTTAGCAGTACAGATAGCTTTAGTTGTAAATGAGATATGATAAAATAAGTCTATATTAAATAATAATAAAAGAATGACTTAATATATAAAATATACATGGAAAATAAATGAATGATAATATAAATTCAAATAGTTATAAAAAAAAGCATGGCAACGAAAAAGTAAATTACAGCACAGAAGCACAATTGGTAAAGAAGATATTATTGACTGTGCTGTATGCTGTAATCTTACAAATGTTATAATGCTTGTTTCATTTAAAAAGTTCATTATATTTTCATTAAATGGGATATCTTTCAAATATTTTTTGTTTCTTAATTTCTTTTTTCTTAAAAATAATCATCAAAATCATACATGATCTTCACTGCTTAAAAACAAAAGTCATTAACTGTATAATGTGTATACAGTTAATGGCTTAGTAAATGTAAATGAAAAACTACATCTTGTAAGATGCAATTTTTCATTTACATTTACTAAGGCTCTTGATACTTTGGTGGCTTTATGTAAATTTTGGAAAAATGGCTCTTCTCTGAACAAAAATTTTGACTCCTAGGTTAGGAAAAGAAAAGTAATCACAATACTAAATATACATTGCAAAATAAAAATTTAATTTTTCACCAAAAATTTAACAATATAACAAAACTATCTGTAAGCATAAGAAATACAAATACCATATTTACTTGCATATAAAACAATACTGCATATAGAACAAGCTGTGACTAAAAATCAAAATAAAGAAAATTAGATTTATTAATACAATTCTAATTTTATTTTGATTAATCGTAAATAAAGTATCAAATGCACACACTGTCCCACAAAAATTAATGGCATTTTAAACTTTAAAGAAAAATCTTGCAAAATTGATAAAATAATTTTTTCATGTAAAGCTGGACAATCGGGAACTTTTTTTTTGCCAATTCTTAACAGTCAAACCCACTCTACATTGATTACACTTATGAGTTTCTCTGAATTCTGATTTCAGAATAATCATCTGTTTTCACATGAGAATGGATTAAAACTTATATATTGGGTTCCTGTATGATTTTGGAATTTTAATTTGGAATCCAATTAATAAAGCTTTGCTTTTCCTATTGCTATTCATCTTTACACCTGACAATACACAAGAATGATTCAAATGATCCAGATAAAATACTTTTTGTTTTTAATTAAACATACAGGGATGAGCATACGGTAAAAAATGTGAATACACAGTTCACAAAAATTATTGCAAAACAACAAAGAATCCTTCACTCACGCGTATATGATGACCTAGGTTTTTGAGGCAATGAAAAATGAATAAAAACTTCGTCTTATATGTAAGTAAATACGGTATATATTAATTAAAACTCAAACTGAGTTAAGAAGCCTTGCAATTTTTTACAGACACTAAGAAAAGTCTAGCTCATTTTTCTCAAAATATTTTAAAATTTATTTATAAATCATCAACAATGCTTCCTCATTTAATTTAAAGTCAAAAAATATATTCAATGATTAAAAGCATGTTTACAAAATTATTAGTATGGTTGTATATTATTGGTAATAGTAGATAAGATTAAGCTCACTTTTAGCATTTAATTCAAAATAATTCTTTTAATTATATAAAGAAAACATTAAATTTTTAAATTTAGTATATTTTAACAGCAATTAAAATATTATATTATTTAATATTACAACAATTTTTCATTACATTTTCATTAACTCAATTCCTGGTAGAAATCAAATTTCAAAATCATAATTGGAAAAAAAAATCACACCAACCACCTCAACTTGAAGAATTTCTGTATTTATAATTCTTGTACATAGATAAAATTAAAATTTTGATTTAAAATAAATATTAATCATTCAAATTAAATAAATTTTTTTTCATAAAACAAATTTCAAATAAATTCTATTTATAAAAAACTTACACATTTTGCTATTTTACTTTACTATTTTTTTCTAATTGCCTCTAATTTATTATAAAATTTACTTTTGTAAACTTTGTACTCATATATTTTTTACTTTTTCATTCTTTGGATCTTAGACTGGATGTATGATTCAATATAAGCACATATACTACTATAATAATAATAATCTTTTGAAATTTCAAAATTCAAATAGCAAGCAAGGCATTTAGAACATTTTTCAATAACTATAATATTTGATATTTTATATCCATTATTATAGTTATTGAAACTGAAAAAAATTTATGAAAAGTCAATAATAATTTTCATTAATAATTAGAATTCTTAAAATTATATTAAATAGCTTCAAACAGTACTTTGAAATTTTGAATTTGCAAATAACATACTATGTGAAAACAAAATCAAGTATTATTTGGAACAGCTTACATTTTATTACATCTCTACAATTCTCAGGTCCTTGGGTAGGACTTGAATTAATGGAATTCGAACCTGTCAAGAAAATTGGCTTTTTTGTCACAAATGTGATTAAATAGAAATATTGATTAAAAAAATATGTCATAAAAACTTTTTAAACAGATAAATACAGTAGTAACAAACAAAAAACCATAACATAACAAAACAGAATGTGACATAATCAAACTTTTTAAACAGATAAGGATACTAGCATACACCATAAATCAGTTGTTTACTTAAATAACTATGCCATAACTTTGATACATTTGGCAGATATCAATTGAGCATCATATACTACAACCATAATAATAAATTTAGCTGTATAAAATTATTTAATTTGTTATTCTCTTATCAATTTGTTTAAAAATTTACTTATATGTAGTAAATATAATCATTTTCAAAACATTACATAATTATTATATAGTGCTTTTTTTTATAAATATTACCTTTTCTACAAATTGCATTTTCATCTGTTGTTATAATTTATTACTAACTTATAAAATCAGTGATATGTATAAACATTCATTCTCTGGAGTTCAAAGGAGAAAAGCTTAGAAAAAAGCAATCTTTAAATTTTATATCCTATATAATAAAAAGTATGAAAAGATTGGTTATTTTCATTAAAATTTGCAATCTGCCAGATTCTCAATATAACAGCATTTCCAGAAAACTATTATTTGCAGCATCACATATATAAAGTAAACAGCTGAATAATTATATATGGCAATCTATATGAGAAATTTTAAGATGTGTTATTTACATAATGATGTAACAAAGATGTTATGTTGTATATTATGCAATTTTGGAATTTTATAAAATCAGAATTTCTGGTAAATCTGATAGATTTAATAATTAATATGTTCAAATCCAATGTTTGGCAAATCTTCTTTTACTAATGACACAACTGAAAAATGCCTTAATACTTCCATTGTTTCAAGGGAATTATGTATTGACATAAAAATATTCTTTAAAAACTCAAAACATAAATATTCTTTAAAAATTTTACTTAAAATCATTTAAAAAATTACTCAAAATTTATTATATAATTATTATTATTAGAGGCAAACATGACAAACAATGATATTAAGACATCTCCAAACAGGTGGAGAAATCAGAGTACTATACACCACTATATGCCAATGCTATATATATATACAGTTGGTCCTGATTTCCAATATCTGATAAATACAGGTTCAATGTTCAACTTCAGAATTCCAAAACCTAACATTTCCACTTGTACTAGCATCTCCCCTGCAAATCTGACTGCCTGTCCATGTCTGCAGTTTTCCAGAAACCGACATCTCACTAAGGTAGATTTTCTCTACAAATGAGTTCTTTGGCATCTTTATCCAAGGAGAAGCAATTTACAAGAATATTGGAACAGCTAAAATTGGATCACAAAAAGAAGGAAACAGATTTCTGCTATTGATCCTATGCAGCACCCATTGGTGTATCTTTAAGCCAACAGAAGTTACAGGATGTTAAAATGCTACCCAGAAAAATTTTTTGAACAGATGTAGCAGAAGCAAAAGGATCTAGATTACTATAAAGAGGTGATGGTTCATCCCACTGTGGAAAAGGATGATAGTTGCCCTCATGAAGCATGCACCTGTGAATTTAATGCAAAAGTAGGTTCAGTTTAAACCTAAATGGACAGAACAATACGGTACCTAATTTGTGTACTTGAAAGAACCTATGCAATGATACTTATGCAGTGATACATAAAACCTTATGTATTCTGAGAAATTAAATAAAAGGAATGTTTGTTGAAGTGAACTAGTGTATCTCATATTTAAAATAAACCTATTCTACAGCACAATAGTGTGATCAGTTTTTCAAAAATATCCATGATCAGAACTACAGAACCCAACATAACATCTTTCATTTTTCAAATTTATGTATTTCTAGCAACTGGTCATTTATCTGTTTGCATACAATTGTGACATTATATGCATGCTTACTAATAAAAATAAAGTTAAAATTTTATTTCAGTTCAGAAACTTTCTACCAATTATATCCATTTTTCATAGAGATGTTACATGGCCTCTGGAATTCAATGCCTTACATAATTTTGATTAAGAAATTTATTAAAAGTTTAATTCAAAATTGCAGTTACAATCAGTTTTCATTGCATGAGTAGTTCCTCACCAGACATCGTTCTCCTTCATTACCTCTGCCACTGCTACAGACCTCTGTAAATATTGTACATATGTGTGAGTAACCAAGGGTATAGGTATGTTACCTATATCTCTTACTGGCGCACGATCGTGTGATCAGCCCTCAAAACTTTTTATAGGAGGGCTTTTATAAACGATCCTAATCGTGAGATTCGGATCTACGTCAGGATTCCGACACCAGTTTATCAGTTGTTTTACAAGCGGATAAACACGTGTGGGGCAATCCTAATCCGATAATAATTGAGAGACATTACTTTATAAAATAAACAAGAATAAATTTAATTAAACGTAAACAAATAATAGGAATACAAATAGATGATAAGGAGACCACTACTACTACTTACAGTCTATAAGTTGTGCGAGATAAGGACTTATACCTTAACCGATGCGCGATCGAGAGAAAGAGCTCACAAAATCACTCAAGAACATACAACCTGATCGTTGTCTTTAACCTTCGGCTCTGTATATGAAGTATTTGTTCATTCCTTGAATTCTCTGTCTTCTTTCCTCTGGAGAGTTCCACTTAACTGGGTGTATTTCTAGTCTCAATCCTTCGTATATTGTACGGCTCATAGTATAGGTGTTGGCCTTTAGGAGCAAATATGTATGGAGTCCTGACTCTTCCAGGTCTGTCGATGAACTCCCCGAATTCTGATAAATTTCCACTATATCTGACGATCAGCGACCAATCATCATGCAAGATTCTTCCGTGGGAACGGACAAAAAGGGGAATATGTGAGGGGTAAACATTTCCCATCAAAGCGAGGTTTTTCGCAGATAAGGGAAAAACAGAGGATGTACTAACTTCCCTCGAAGGAAGTAACATCTGTTAGCTATTTTTCCCACGTTAGAAAATGTTAATTTCTCACCAAAATGAAATAATATTTTATGACAATATTTAACATTATTAATAAAATTACTATTTTAGACCCAGGGGCCTTTCAGATCTCACATATGCCATCATAACTGATACTGTTGTCACCATAACTGTACATTACAACTTTGAAATGTAATGGCTCATATTATTTCTCTTATGTATTGTATTCTCTACTCAAATTGTATTTTACAATCTATTATATTGTATCATTACTTAATTTGCTGTATTGTACCCAATTTTATGTAATTTATGTGTTTTTTTCCTTCTGCACTTATAATACACATCTCCATGTTTTATTTTGTATTAACACATGTAATATAACATAGTGTCTGTACTTGTAAAGCTTTCAAAATCCATCACTTTGTAATTCTGTATGTACCTTTTTACTGTAAACAAATTGTAATTAACTATATCATCATTGTGTTTAACTGCAACATCATTGTAATACCTGTATCATCATTGTATTAACTCTTGTATACTATTCCAACCTACTTTTTAATATCTCTGTAATTCCTGTATTGTAAACAAGTTAACAATTCCTGTAGACCTATCTGGTTTTCATTCACGGTAGTGCCATGCAGAGCCAGGCATGTACAAACTATTGTATATAATAAAGATATTGACTGACTATTATTATATCTGAATAAAGAAAATGCAAGGACTAAGAAATTAAAACATAAATTTTAAGAATATAGTATAGATGAAGAAATAAGCAAATAGTTTCATTCTATTATATAATATATATATATATATATATTTATATATTTGTATTATT